CATCATTATCTAACGAGTATCCCTTATAAGGTTAGGCAAATCATTTATATAGATAGGAATAAAAACGGGCCGAGAATCGATCCCTGCGGTACACCCATCTTGACAATAGATCCGGCAGTAATCTTTCCATTCACCTCAACTTTCCGAACCATGTGTATTCAAGTATGAGAAAGTCTAGAGAGGCACGCTGCATTCCATTATGGTATACCCACTAACAACTTAACTTGGGGAGACTGTTAAAGTTCATGTTTGTGTAAGTTTAAAACAAGATGACACCTGTACATGAAATATCAATATTTGGTAGACCGTATACGCGAGTGAACTACACCTGAACTTTATCGAACAACGGCACATGTGCGATGTGATTCATAATTGAATGCACATCATTCTGCCTAAACAAGAAATACTTGTTTTTATTATATTGTCTGTTGTTTGACAACTTGTCGTGAAAGTGAAGGAAATTATTATAGACTCAATGGAAAGCAAGCAAAAAACAACAAGAAAATTATGGTCTTAAATAAAGTACCCGCTTGACGTAGCGGAATAATAAGTGTAAATTATGCAATTTATTTGTATAACTGTCAAAGTAATTACATTTTTATGTAAATGTTGTTCCAATTACCAGTTAATCTCTTTCGTTGGATAACCGTATTTTATTTGAATTGTTGTATATCACATTTTCCCGTCAACCGAAAATATGTATTATGAACACTGTTGCTTTTCGTTACGCATCATTATCTATAACGACAATATAATTGCACTGTGTATTTTGTTATTTTTTTATAAATAGTGTGGTTACAGTAAAAACAAAACATAATAACTATCGTGAGACATACTAAATTAACTAAAAATCGCGGGATACTTACGTGAATGTACTGAGAAAAGCTGTACTTGTTTCGAACCACAGAGGGGTTCTTCCTCATGAGCAGCGTGCGCGATGTGTGTCGCGGCGATGTCGCGCAGCCTACGAGCCGCGAAACTAGCAGAGCATTTCTCAGTATAGTATATATCGTATAGATGTTAATTGTAAATAATGAGATTTTTTATTCCCTACAACATACGTGAAAATTAGACCTCAAGTTATAAGTACAGACTTACGTGTAATCGATTTATGTATACGTTCACTGTATACACAAATTTTAACTTATCACATAATTATGTTTTGCTCATCGGAAAATAAGAAACGCCTGGGTGTTCTGAGACCATGTTTTATAGTTGTATGTCGTACAACTTACTAAACAACCTGTATAATTCATCACTGTTGATCAATATAGAAATGTATGCAGGTCAAAATGACGAATGATCCTTTAATTTCAGAAAGTGTAATATTAAAACAATAATATAATATTTACATTATGATATTTTCCTTACTGAATTTAAAATTGTACGCTCAAATGGAATCGGTAATTACGAATCAACAAACAGCATAATATTTAATGCTGTTTTCGAGAATTCTGAGTGCTTTATTAACGTTTCATCAATATATATATAGATACAGTAATACAATCATTATATCTTTTACGTGCCTTTTTACTTCTTATCATTGAATCAATCTAATAAAAAAATCTTTTTTCGACAGAATAAGGGTAACACAGAAACGAATCTTAGCTTTCTATACGACTTGAACATGAGTTTCATTACGCTATACACCTGGTGAAGTGATCGGCTCAGTTACAACAGTCGCCAGAAAAATATGTAAAAAATTAACAGTGAATTATTTATGTTGCATGGATTTTTTTAACCGGATTTAAGAAACAATGTTTTAAGTGGTATACCATTTTAAAATCCTCATTAAACGCGTAAGATTTTGGTGTAACTTGCTATAGTATTTGTTTTACTTAGATTTTAACGTTCCATATTACTAAATACAATATAGAGGTAATTATGTTATATTGAACAGTGCATTCAGGATCAGGTAAGAAAATACATAGATATAAAAGTAAATGTTTGTAGCAACAGGAGTTAAACGACTGTGTCACTTTTTTGTCAATTGTCACATAAATCACTGTAATTTGTAAACTACATGTTTTCGAAATTCTATATACTTTGAATTAATTTAACTTTTCCTATCCCCTAGTGTCAGGTCAGTTCAAGTCGATTTCAGGGACACCATACCTAAGCTATGAGTGTCTTATCTGGATAATCGCTAGGCTAAGGGACAAAACATTCTGCACAGCATTGAATAAATAATAAATAACGCACCTGTGACTTCTCTGGTGTTGCGGGTGTCCATGGGCGGCGCTGATCGCTTACCATCAGGTTCCGTCTGCTCGTTTGCCTCCTACTCCATAAAAAAAATAATAGAAATAGTCTGTATTTGATGAAAATAAATTATTTCAGCGCATCGCTTACTTGTGGTCATTCCCCTTTGAATCACAAAATGAGGTCAGACTTGGTCTAAAAGTATGTACACATCGATCCCAACGAATTATTAAATACTCGCCGCACACAACCTGTGTAACCTGGACCTGCAATTCAAGAACTCAACATTACTTTAGCGCGCCATTTTGGTGCTTTTTAGAATTTAAGTAAATAAAATGACTTGATAGTTATCATTAACCATGTAATAAATAGGATGGGAGCAAGAAAATTGTTCATATTTTTTCCTTTCGTCTCATCATTGGGTGTCACCAAATAGACCACCATATCACCAATTTCAAGAATCTAGTTTCTTCATGAAGTAACCGAAATAAGAATAATGAAGTTGTAGTAAACATATATAATTTTCGACGGATTTACTACGAGACACCGCATCCTAAACTTATTAAGTGTTTAAAAGCTGTTCAACTTTTAAGATTTTATATCAATATTGAATATAAGACAGCACGGTTGGTGCGGTGGCTGGGCAACCGGGTGCCGTGCAACGTGTCGCGGGTTCGATTCCCGCACGGAACAACACTTTGCGTGATCCATAAATTGTTATTTCGGGTCTGGGTGTGTATATGTGAAATTGTATGTTTGTAAACGCACCCACGACACAGGAGAAAAACATAGTGTGGGGCAACGTTTTTTTAAAAAAAAAATATCTATATTCTACTATCTATATATGTATGGTATAAAACTCATCTGTCAGGCCCATTATCCAGGTAAGCACATGTCATGTATACAGTATGTATATGCTTCCATCAAAATGAATGCTTGCACCTTGCGTAGAAATAATAAAAGCTGTGTCATGCATTTGTACGATGCGCGTGGCAATGTCACTCAACCGACTGCTTGTAAGGATGCATCTTTACACTCCGCCATGAGAGCAAATTCTTTCCAAAAATACATCAGACTCGTAGGTCATATGTCAATCTGCATGCGCGACACCCAATACTGCCAATTCGGTACCACCTATGTCTGTGATCCCTGAATACTTTCTGCCATTCTTGTTTTTATTTAAACGAAAAATACATTTGGAAGCTATGAAATATCTAATTCGAGTCTAAAGCATTGAATACTATGAATGCACGCGGCGCTGTGGGCAACAGTAGACTTATTATGATAGTATATTTTTCGGCTTACATACGTAATTATTTCGCGAGGAACTCGACTAGTACGGCGACAACAACAGCGCTCGCCGTACTAGTCGCCTCGTTGCGGGTTCGCGGAATGCTGCTCATGAATATGAGCCTCTAGCTTAGCTTGAAACTAGTCCAGTTCCTCATTTATTTATTTATTTATTTATTTTACATAAGTACAGATACAGACGACAGATTGAAATCGTACACAACAATCTTAATTATAAATAGTGAGCGAACCTGAAGTCCAATTACATAATCCATTTATATCAAATTACATAAACAATTCCCAAATGTTAATCCATTTTACTGTAATAAATTTTGTTCAATTTTTGAAAACTAAAAATTACTAAAAAGCGGCCATACAAGAAATCAAAGGTAACAAAAGGTACAAAGGGAACAACTGAATGAGTGAACAACAAATCCGAAACAATGGCGTAACGACACATATCATGCTCATCCTACGTGTGTAAGCCGAAAAACATTACAATTAATTTAGTATGTCCCATGAAAGTTGTAATATTAAAACAGTAGACTTTATTTATATGAAATAAGGTGATTTTTGTAACGTGGCTGACTATTGCTTAAAGCAGCGTGGACATGACAAATATGCAAAAGTCGTCTATCGTCATTTGTTGGTTGCATGCAATCGTCAAATAAGGCGTCGTAGACAAGTAGCCCTCAGGGCCGTAGTTAGGGCCGTATCTGCCGTATCAATTATACGGGGCCCTTGGCGGCAAAAACCGTGCAAATTCATTGTGTAGGTACTGATGTTTTGGGTCTCGCAAATGTCAATTTATAATCTACACATCTACGGGTGTTGCAAAATTGTCCGATTAACAAAACCAACCAAAAGAACATTTCAATAGATCAAACAGTCGAAGTATACAGTGTAACGACCCTTGTCTTTTCACTGTATACTTGTACAGCCTCGCCCGATCTTTTCCCGACTATGTCAAAAACGTATCAACAAATTTAGGTTAAGTATTAGCTATTTAGCTGCAATGGGATTTTCCTAATAGAATACAAATCTCAGTGTGTTTCCCAAAGGAAGTACAACAAGGGATAGTTTGATCAGGTATTTAAGTTATTTATGGCGACGATTACGGGGTCGATGCGGCACGGCAGCACAAGCACTAGACGATACGAGGAGTAGTCCGTCGACTCACAGCAAAAAGTATGTTTAGGAATTCAATTAAGAAAAGTCGATGAAGATGGATTAGTTTCTCGTTATCAATATAACATAGCAGTAGGTCAAAGTTACATTCAACGCCTCAAGCAGCTGATCCATCGCGTTAGTTTTAGTTTACCATAATTAGGTGTTGAATTATTGATTTATTGATTTGTGTAACATAAATGGTAATGACAATACGTATAATATGCATATGACTATTAAAACTGATGAAATCTCAATAATCTAATTTATTAAATAAAAAAAATAAACTACATAATTCATCAGGACATAAAATTATTAAAAATATATTTATTTTGTTTCAGAGTCCGAGTGGAGTATTACGTAAACGAGAACACTTTCAAAGAAAGACTGCAACTATATTTTATAAAAAATCAACGATCGAGTAAGTATGTCAAGGCGTTAATAAATTGCTGTCATTACTGTGAGGTTTCTTCGAATAGACTACTAGGCATCATTTCCTTGGCTTTAATATACTCACATTAAAATTAAAAATTACGAACAACTCATGGACACAACGAGTAGATGCCATGTCACAAATTGGGTATTTATTTTCGATAGAATTTTCTAAAGATGAGAAATCAATTTTTTTTGAGCTGAAAATGAGATATTATCTGACTTTCTGTGTGTAAAAAATATTTTGAATCTGACTCACCAACGTGCAACACTTTTGAAATGGTAAGACTCTTCACAATCGTGAGATGTGTATTGTCAGAAAATATTTTCACAAAATAAGATGAGAATGAACTGGAATACTGTTATCGTTCTCGGTGGTCAAAGAATATATGTATATGCTTCAATGTCGATAGTAACGACCATAACTACATGAACAAATAATCATTCAGTGGTTGTTAATTCTATAATATAAATTCATGTAGACACTGTTATAGAAGTCAATAAATTAAAAAAAACTTGTGAAACTAAACATATGGCTGTAGCAGATTTATATTCGCAATCATAAACGAACTATTATTAAATACATTGTTAACCCATTTTTAAATGAGTAGGTTCTCGGAAATCGTCAGAAGCTATTAAGGATACCTGAGTAATCGTAGCAGCACTACTATAATATTTATGCGAACCCTGAACATATACGTATTTAGTCACAATGATAGAGCAGGCTACAAACCGTGCTGTTGTATTTTAGACTCTTTTACTTTTATTTTAGACCTACTCCAGCAGAAGGCACCTGAGGGTTATTTTAGACATCATTATTGTGTACTTGATCGATTTTACTCAATGCCCCATTGAGTGAGTCCGTGGATTTAGACAGAGACTATAGCACGCCAATTTCATAAATAAACATAACTTCTAATAACTTTCATGATCGATCATTAATTGATCGGTGATGTCTTTCTGATAGACCATTACTGTAAGAATGATATGAGTTATTTATTCTTATCATAGTAAGCTTTATACCAATCATGAATTAAACAGATCTGACTGAAATTGACGTCCTATAACAACTTCTTTTTCGGCCTCCTAGCTCTGGGTTCATCATCGTCGTCCGTCCTTACTCCATTCCATTCCAGCTCTACATAAGCTCGAAGGTATCTATCTACTCACTGGGCATCCTACTGCACGCTACTTAGTTGTGGTCTCTTTTACCCCAGTTCCACAGTAGCCATCCTTCTGATGTACTCATCTATCAGAGACATTTGGAAATTCTCACTAATCATTTTATTAGCTATGGCGTGTGTTACTGTCGCATAGTAAAGGTCAGAATAGTGAAACTCGGTCAGTTCCTAATGACCGTTGGGGTTTCTACTGTACACTAACTGTTGAACATTGGTTTATGCGTCAAATCACCCATTTCTCAGCAGAAGCTAGTCAGGAACTGATGGGATCTCTAGCGCACGGCTATAGGATTTTATGAAAGCAGTCATGTACTGTACAGTCTTCAAGGAGGAGTATTTCACACTAATTTGATCCGTGAAAGCATGGCTGCTACTGTCCCCGTTTTGTGCGCATACAGTAATCTGCCCATAATTTCCACTTCCTATTATAATCTTAATAATCTATGGAACAGTAAGTTAGGTCGGTGATGGGACCCCAAAAAAACAAACTAGCCACTGTGTCCACCAGGTCTTGGGATGTTAAAGCACGCGGGGAATGTTTTGTCTGTTTTTAATGATGTTCCCGTGAAACTAAAAGAGTCTGTTTTGTGTCTCGATCTAAAAGAAAACCTTTTAATTTGGCGAGCAAGTTAAAGTTATTTGTGAGAAAGTCACGAAAAGGGCTGGGCTGTTAAGGCTACATTAAGCTCAGTACGGCGGAAGCTTCTTCCAGGCCAACATATAGCTTTGATCTTCTAGTGAAAGGCTTACAGGACGGTTGGCTCTAAGGGCCTGCTTGTGGTCACCACCTCCATTTCCAAAAAATATTTTCGGTGCACACGTCACGGTTGTGGAGGGTTTTGGCATGTAAAAAGCCACGCCCTTCATATTATCGTACAATTTACAGTCTCATTACCGATGATCGTGGGTGATGCATCCTATGTACGGGCAGTACATTTATTTATTTACATGTTTTGTGTTGATTTGCTTTAATAAAATAAAAATGTCCAATAGTAGAATCTGGAGCTTCATATCTTGAGGTAATCTCGCTCTATTTTCAATAGATAAGAAATTTTCTAGTTTAAAATGTGTAAACCAGTTGGTTCCTTAAGTGTCCGTTCAGAAATACCTGGATTTTAAAATAAATAGGTGAGATGGTGGCCAAGCGCCGGAAGCTGAATATAAAAAGTTATTTTAAAACCTCTATTTCGGACAAGTTGTTAGAAATTCGATTTCATTCTAGTATTTTAGTGATAAAAGTAAAAAGATAATTTCTTTTTAACATGATTTTATTACCTCTTTAGCTCTTTGATATTTTCGATACGCAAAACAATATTTATTAATATGGAATTAACATGAACATAATTTTGTCATAGGTACCAACTACATTTTTTGGGTCAAATACGATGATTTAAAATATTCACAATAACACATGTTTGTCACACATTGTGATCAGTACCTACATACATATCTCTAATATCACGTTTTCAATGCAGGTTTTTCAAACGAGCAATACGATATATCTTAATGATGTATCTCCTTATTTAATCTACTATTGTGAAAATGTTTTTGAATAACTTTATGGATGTACGTGTGAGCACCAAATTTCATTAAAATCATTTCAGTACTTTACATTATTCTTGATTTGAAAGTGTATGATCAAAACTCGTGCCAGTGAAACCTCTTAAATAGATAAATGTGTGATACTGAAATCTCAAAAATTGGTCCCCGCGTTAGTAATAGAGTTTAAATATTATAGTCATTAAATATTCTAATAGACTTTTTTTATAGAAAAGGACGTATTGGCATACTTTTAAAATGAAGATAGGTATCGTATTAAAAATAAAATTAGTTATAGTTTACTAACTAGATTGGTGATATATTAAAGAAGAGCTAAATTAAAAGTACCCTTACCCGACGAGCATGCATGAAAAGATTGATGATGATGATGAAGCGAAAGGGGTATGTAGGAATCGTAGTAAATGGCGTTCCATAGTCTCTGTCTACCTTTATGGGAGACAGGCGTGAAGTTATGTATGTTGTGTAGAAATTTTTTTGCTCTGTCAGAGCAATGGGCATTATGCTTTTCCATTTCTTTGTTTCAGGTTTACGCATTAGAATAGCTAACTTATTTTTCAAACTTTTGACCTGCGTGTTGTATATATGCCGAGTTTGCGCTGATGGCGATCCCATTACCGCTTCCTGGTAAGTACATTTTATTAGTTAAGCTGAAACATTATTGCATAACATTGAATCTATTTTAAAAATAAAGAGCCGACATTTACAGGATAAAAATAACATTTGGTTACATGATAGCAGTGGGTCCAACCTGAGAGCTCTTTAATAACTTTACCAGCAAAATTGTTATTTAGTTCAGTTGTCGCTGATGTGTATGTTGATCTTTTTTGAAATAGTTATAGCAAGTTATAACAAGTTGTTTAGTATGAAAATTTCCCAAAAATAAACACTTCTGACCAAATTGAGTGTACTGTTAAGACGACCTAGCTGAACTTATAGACTGTTTTCAGAGATAATCGGCTTTATAGTACTATTACATTCAAATGTGTAGTAAGTATTTATATATGCACAACAATATTTTTAACTTTTCCACTGCCAATAACATAATCGGATTGCATGTGCATATTTAACACTTGTAAACCTCGTGAAGGTACACTGAAAATGGAAGACAATTAATTATTCAGTCACCGTGCTCGCTGAGAGCAATTTTCCAGTTTTAGGAAAAACATTACATCATTTAATCCTGATAAATATGACTTGATTCATGAAAAAATACAGCCGCACTATTGATGAAGTTATTTTATTACCTCTAGTATTATGAGGCTTGAAAAGAAGTCCAAGTAAAATGGCATTATAAATTACTTTATAGGTTATCTAATCTGATACAGTTGTCACTCGTAATCGTAAGTGTTCACGTTCGTGCACTGTGTAGACATTTAATATAATTATCTTCTTTACAGTTACGGCTGCAGGCCTGGGAATAAGACTGAATTCGAATATTCGGCTAACTTGACGGAAGAGGAATTTCAGGAGCACCCGATTATTAATTGGGACGGAATAATATGGGTCAATAGGCCCCTGTATTTGTGGGTTGTGCAAGTCATATTAGCTATGATATCTTTTACCGAAGCCATACTACTCGCTTATTTAGGCTACAAGGTAAATTAATTGTGTCATCAACTAAATTGAAATTACCTTATGGGACCATCTATCAATGACGTCACACCTTTAGGGAGACAGACAAAAGTTGGGTCGTACTTCCGTCTTCTGTACACGAGAAACTCATAATTCTGAATGAATGAATTTCATTTTTATTTTATCTGTTTCTCTTATACTGTAGGCAATATTTTAACCTCTTTATTTTCCTGTTTTCAGGGTAATATCTGGCAACAAGTTTTATCGTTTCACTTCATCTTAGAAATGGTGAATACGATACCATTTGCATTAACGGTAAGATTCTTTGAGTTACTTACCTACATTATCCCCGAAGGGGTAGGCAGAGGTGTATATTACGGCATGTAATGCCACTATACAATGTACACCCACTTTTCACCAATTATATTATAAGTCTTATGGAATAAGGGGTGAGTCTTTTGCCAGCATACCACAATATGAAATTAACAGAATAAAACGGTCAGGACAACACAAACGCATGATATTATTATTGTCGAATGTAAATAAGTTTGTCATGAATTTTTGTCACCTAATTGGAATGTAATGGAATAATCAAACTTAATGAAAAAGGTGTGTAAATATATTTCTTCGGGAAGTACTCACTGTCCTACCAAGGTTGTTCAGTATTTGCATATCGGATGTACCGCCTTTAAAACTACTCGGACATTTTATGGTGTAGTAAAATACTAAACAATAACTTAAGTTGGAAACTGTTGCATGTTACCGCTTTATCTGTTTGCCACATCATATTAATATTTTGCAGTAATTATAACTGTACAGACGGTAATCATTTAGGTCGATGTGTTTTAGTTGTTACTTCCATCACAATATGTAATTTCAACAGTTTTTAACCAGTTTCGTTATATTCACGAAAAAAATTGATATGAAAACTAACTTGTACAAAGGGAAACTGGTAATTAAGTGACACATCGCGCTTCAGTTATTGGCACCAGTGATACAAACATAATTATGTCACGTAATCCTTAACGCTGTTAACAGGTTACGTAACTAGGTTTGGGCACTTTAAATTCAAATCGATTTAAGGCAATTTGTCACTATCTACAAACAATTTGCTGTTATGATTTTGTGCAAACGGATTTTGAAGTTCACCTTTTCAATCTTTGTGTTATATCTTATAAAGCTGTTAGACCCGTAACGAACAGGGAATGCTTTATATTTACCTACGAAGTATCACGACCCCTGTGCAAAAATAGGAAACTTGACACTATATTTAATTCGTTAAAGCGAGAAATTAACGTAAAATCTTACTTACATACTATGTATAAGAAACAAATCTGCAATCTATAACGATCTAATTCTTGTCTGAGAAAAACTGTTTAAGTTTTAGACTGGAAGACTAACCGATCCAGTTACTGTAAACGGGGGTTCAGGCAACTCTACGTTTCATTTCTGAAGGTCGTTGAAGAAATTTTCTGTTTCATGGGCTGGGTTATCATGTAAAAGGTCTTTCGTTAATTACGCCACATTCATGTAGGCACCCACATATATATGTGTTAGTGTTAATGACAACCACAAGAATCTTTTATACTTGTGACGTTCGATCTTTTACATTACTTTTACCCAGAAATTTTCACTATTTTAGTTGTCTGACTCCGTATTAAAAATAAACTAATCTGATTTCAGTTGCCGTTTCCACCGCTCAGAAATCTTTTCATACCAGTATTTTTAAACTGCTGGCTGGCGAAGAGATCTCTCGAGAACATGTTTGTAAGTATATCATTGCTTAAAATTCACATTCGTATTACTGTTTTGTATCAGTGCTTGGTACTATTGTTGATTTAATCAACATTTTCCGTTCTTAGCCTTTAACAAAAATTAAATTATTGTCTATTTCATTATTTAAGTGTGTTGCTGTTTCTATAGGCATGGTCGTGAATAAAATTGCGCGTTTCATGTATAACGTAACGTCACGCCTTTTAATCCCTGTGGAATAAAGTAGGGGTGCACATACGCAATGTAGCGCCTACATTCCCTCACCAGTTATATTATGATTCTATCACTTAGTCTATAACCCGAATAGAGCTCCAATACTTTGCCCGGGAATACAATTTGTCGCAGATTCTGGTTCTGGTATTCTCAGCTTGATATTGGTACTTGAAACCATTCTACAATAACCTTCCATATACTTACTCAAGGACGTTCAAAAAAAGGCGGACGTATTGTCACTTACAAATGATTAAACCACGAAAATGGCGGCGGTGTATTTATGTTTGCGTGTGTAATAGGTTATAAGAAAATAATCGATTTTTTTAAAATAATTGGCGTAAAATTTGTGGTTCCATTGACTTCTATTTTTGAATATGCCGCGGTTATAGGTATTCAATTTATACGTGGCACCAAATTCAAAAGTACTAAATGAAAGATTTGCATTGTTGTATAATTTGCACTACTAAGGATAGTTATATATAGCTATTTGCATTAGCGACGACTATTAAGTCGTTATTTGATTCAGGATGAATGAAAATGTTTATTGTTTTGATATACCGGGCGCACAAAATGTAATGATAAGCGATTAACATAATATGCTGTTAAAGTATGTGTTCTGCGTGTAAGTCTGACCTACTATGGGTGCTTCAGTTGTGGTTTCAAGAGACTACATCCACTTTAATTAAACATCTTTGTACTTACTATAAAAGTGCCTAAGACTTTTGTCCTTTGTTGCAGAACGACCTCCACAGAGCTATGCAAAAGTCCCAATCTGCGTTATCACAGCAATTAATGATATTATGCGTAACATTATTATGTCTGGTTTTTACAAGGTAAGTAAAAAATGCTAAGCATTATTTACAGTACACAATTTGCAGTTAAGAAAAATATCGTTCAACTGGAGCATTAATTAGATATGGTTTCAGTACGTAGTAGCCATTTGTTACACAGGGCAATTTTAGGGACACTCTCAAAGCTGTGTTTTCACGGTACGTTTACGGACCGAGTGTACTCGTACAAGTCTTTTAAAGATTTTACAATTGCCTTGAAAATAATTTAAGTGCAATCATAACATCGATCACTGACCGATCCGATTCATTCAGCTATTTGCATTCCGACGACATTCAGATTGCGTGTTTACACGGCACGGGGTGCTTCTGAGGAGATATCCGATTGCTTAGCTCAAGTCTACTAGTAGACGTTGTTAATTATGTTCGGTCATAGACTAAATCAAAGAAAGCATCGTCTCTTATTCTATTCATTGGATATATAAATCTTTAGTCACTGTAATCAAGACACAATAGAAAATATATTGTCTCTATAAAATGAACTGTATGTACCTATAATACCTGCACATGACTGTAGTTTGAACTGCAAACTACTAACTTCAGTGAATTTTTTAAAATTTTCGTCCAAATAAAAGCATTCCCCTTTGTGAACTTATAGATAAAATGCTTATACTTATATAAAATCTATTTTATTTGCTCTTCTAAATAGTTGCTCGCTTCTTGCTCACACCATTAACTCTTCTCTGCATCACCCAAAGGTCAGACTGGGAGAAAATGCCTGCGGCATTAAGTCCACCTTATGTACATTTTGTGCATGAAGCTTTAAAATAAATTATACGTATAAAGATTGCAGATATTAAGTAAATCTATTTTATAAAGACTTACAACTTACAAAACAACTTACAAAATCATTTTATTATTTTATTGTATTTTTTATATTCATGTACCCTTTTATACAGTTACATCTGATCTACCTATATCTATCTAAACTACGATATTATAGAAACAAAAGCCGTAAGGAGCAAAGGAAATGCGCAATCTAATTTCATGCGTATTGTTAAATTCCTGAAATTTGATTTCATGTATGTACCTACGTCCTTTTTGTAAGGATATCCCATTTCTCACAGTTATGTAAGATGAAAACAGATTTATAATTTTTCATTGACAAAAATACAAACATGTCGTATTTATAGACTGGAGGAACGTCATTGAAATATTACTTGTGTAATTAGCTATATCTATTCAGGATCAGGACAAAGTATATCTAATGCAATGTATATTTGATTTCGTCGCTTACATACGGTGGCATCGTCAGTTGAGAAACGCTCGCTTTTTTATAATTATATCAAAGGCAAAATGGTGAATAGGATCTTATACTTAATAGTGAAGTTGCATTTATTGATATTTCAATTTAGTAATGATAAATATTATATTGCGTCACTGCTTTGTATTACGGTGGTACGTGTGTATTTGTGGTTGTGATGCCGCAATGTATTGTGTCCATTTAGTATAATGGTTTTTTCCACCTTGATTAAGTTCCGTTTTGTTTACTTTTCAGTGTCTGCGGGATCCAACACTTTCAACGAGCTGGGCATCGCCACCTCAATCTGTTTCAAGCCACATACTTCGTAGTAGTTACCTTTTCGACGGTGGGTTACGGTGACTTCGTGCCCGATATATGGCCTTCGCAACTTTTTATGGTTATCATGATCGGAGTGGCACTTGTTGTGCTACCTACACAGGTAAAATAACATGATTGGAACTGTATTTAGTATTTTAATTATTGTCTGAAAGGATTACTTTTAATTCATGAAGTAGTAGAATTGTTGAAAACCAATTATAGTAGTTAACATAAGTAATTACAAAATAACAAAAAATAAAGTAATAAAAGGAAACTGAAGCTGTTTTTTTTATATTAGAAGAGACTGGTTGTTTCTCTCATTTGTTATTTGATAGTTACGTATTTCAAAGTAGACGAAGTAAAGAAGTAAGAACTATAGTCGTTTAGAGATCTCATGGTTTTAGCAGATGTTGTTACTGACATTTGGTATTTGAATTGAAGAAGGTTATTGTATTAAAATCTCACGAGCTCTTGCGTGAGCCCCAATCTCGCGAAAATTGCCTATAATTTGGAGGAAATCAATAAACAAAACTTTTTATAGGGGTCCCCAAAACAACGACATTTCTGGGTTCTCAATCGTTATTGGTTTCTATTTTCAGTTTGAGCAGCTGGCATTCACATGGATGGAAAGGCAAAAACTTGGTGGCTCGTATTCATCACATCGTGCGCAATCGGAGAAACACGTCGTCGTATGCTCTACTACTTTACATGCCGATACAATAATGGATTTCCTAAACGAATTCTACGCTCATCCCTTATTACAAGACTACTATGTAGTACTGTTATCTCCTATGGAGTTAGACACTACTATGAGAATGATTTTACAGGTAAGATCTGAAGAAGGAGCCTGGTGGGCTACTTATTTCTACGTTAAGGAGTTCATTTCACTTGCATGTAATGGGAATTTGCGTTGTTTTGAAACAACGATGTTCAAATTGCCTTTCTGTAACCGCAATACAAGTACGACATTTCATTTAAAAAGTTGGTGATATCTTATGTGATAATCTTCTGTTCTGTTATTAACAAATGCTACCTCTGTAATTCTTTCTCGAAGTCCAATAATGTTTTCTACAGGTATTAAAAAAACCTTTTCTTTAACTGCTCCCTAATAAAAAAATCTAATGGATTAAATCTGGTGAGCAGGCTATGTCATTGTACTAGATCGCCTTATTCGTCTGCTCGGATATTCTTGATTAAGAAATTGTCTGTCCGAGCGGCTATAATGTTCTGGGCATCTTGATGAAACTAAATCTCTCTAAAGTAACTCAGTAGCACGTCTTCCAATGAATTGGACAACACAAAAGGCCCAAGAACCTTCCGTTCAAAATTCCTGTCCACATGTTATTTTTGAAACGATATTAAGATCTAACTTGTGACGTTATCTATCTTAATGAGGCTTAACATGTTCAACAACGTTCCACAACATGGCGCGGGCGCAACCGATGTTGTTGCGGTTATCAAAAAGTGTTTGTTACACTTAGAAGGTTAGGAGGTTGATGTCGCCTTTTGTAATCGTAATTTAATAAAAAAAAAATTCTCTGTTACATAAATAAGAGGACTAATATTTGTAGCGATTTGCTTTGAACTAGGTTTTTTTTATGGAATACAAGGCAAACGAGCAGACGGATCACCTGATGGTAAGCGATCAGCGCCGTCCATGGACACCCGCAATACCAGAAAGGTTGTTTGAAATATACGTTAACTGTCCTAAAATCCAAATTTAAATATAAAACGACAACAACATATTACGCACAACCAAAATATTTATTTTATTATATTACAGGTACCAATTTGGGCACAAAGAGTTATTTATATCCAAGGATCGTGCTTAAAAGATACAGATTTGATAAGAGCTCGTATGAACGAGGCTGAAGCATGTTTTATTCTCGCTGCTAGAAATTATGCCGACAAAACAGCGGCAGATGAACACACTATCTTAAGGTACAGTTAAATCATTTAACATTTTAATAAATCATTTTCTCGTTTAACACGTGTCTATGTCGACATGTAACGAATCACATTTTTAACAAGGAACTCTTTAAATAATACCATTGAGACCCTTTAAACCATTTAAATTTTTCTTCAACTATCTTCTGCCCGCGACTTAGTACGCGCAGTTCCATTTTCTACCGTTCCCGTAGGATTTTCAGGATTTTTTCTGTCGTAAGAACCTTCTCCTGACAATAACAAACACAACAAAAACGATCAGCCAAATCGGTCTAGCCGTTCTCAGGTTATGGCGTGACAACGGGAAACGGGTTTCATTTTTATATATATAGATTATTTTGCTGTGGTAATAGTATCAAATATTAATTATTGTTTTTTTTTGTTTGCTACTGATTTTCATTTGTCATTTCTAATATTACTCTACATGGAATTTATGATCGAGTGAGTGTTGTTTGCATTTGTCATTGGTATGCATATCAGAGATTTCATGCTATAGCAAGTGTACTGTTGTTGTGTTTTTAATAAAGAAACAAATGATCCGATCAAATTACACCCGATTATAAAAGTGAAGCTACATTAATTTCATCATTGTTTAAAACACGAAAATATTGTCACATTTTCCGAGTTAAGGAAGAAGATTTACTCGAGATCAAATGTTACAAAAAATAGGTTAAATCAATAAAAGGTTATAATGACTGAAGGTACGACCCTGACCCATGACCACGCGTGTGATCAGTGTCATTCATCAATCATCAATTTATCGTCCATCAGTTTACATAGCGGTTAAAAACAATATACCACTGGTTTCAGGTCCTGGGCTGTTAAAGATTTTGCACCAGCTGTGCCGCAATATGTGCAGATCTTTAGACCTGAAAATAAATTGCACGTGAAGTTTGCTGAATTTGTAGTTTGTGAAGATGAATTTAAATATGCTCTGTTAGCAAACAATTGCACTTGTCCAGGAGCTTCTACACTAGTAACCCTTTTACTTCATACCAGTCGTGGACAGTAAGTGTCTCATCATGATATTATTCATACGAAAATATTTATCAATAAAATACATAAATAATACAATACTAAACATATTTCATAGTATGGCTAAACTTTATTTTATTACATAGGACATAAACTTTGAATTGCAGGGAAGGTCAGCAGTCTCCTGAAGAATGGCATCGACTTTACGGTAAATGCTCTGGAAACGAAATTTACCACATTGTTTTGGGCGATAGCCGGTTTTTCGGCGAGTACGAAGGAAAAAGTTTTACCTACGCTAGTTTTCACTCGCACAGAAAGTATGTACAAACTAATTACTATGTACGCTTACATTTTTCGAGTTTCACAAGTTCTAACGAAATTTTTGTTAAAAAAGGTACGGAGTTGCTCTAGTTGGAGTACGTCCAGCAGAACTACCTGAATTCTATGAAGAAACGATTCTATTGAATCCTGGCCCCCGGCATATCATGAAGAGTAGTGACACCTGTTATTACATGAGCATCACAAAAGAAGAAAATTCTGCTTTTGTCGTTGCTGAAAAACAATCAGAACAGAAACCGACAATACCAAAAGACCAAACCGCATGTAGTCTACTTTCTAATGAGAAGAAACCAGGTGACGCAGAGGAGGTTTCTGACCAGCAGAAGAAACCAGACGGTAGTAGCGTCGCTCAGTACGACCTTCCACAAGTGATTCTCCAAGCTCCCGCGAGTTCCACACCAAAAGCATCGCCATCACGCATCAACCAAGCTAATACTGTATCATCCGCTAATTTTACTGTCACTAGCTGTGAGTGTCACAGTTGGTAAAACACAAAGTAGGTCAAATGCATACATTCCCCTTGTCATCAAACACAAAATGCATTCGTCCTACTTAATTGTTTGATTTGCTTATTGCTCGTTGTCTTTACCAATAAGTTATTCGTACAGATAAATAGATCTGATTATTTCGTTAAAGACAAATAGCAAACTCACTCATTCCAAAAGTACTATGATAACGAGGCAAGTAATAGTTTCCAGATAATATGAAAATTATACAAAAATTATAAAACCTAAAAAGCATGACATCGTCCTTGTTATCTTGTGTACGGATTCACAATATTTACAATCTAGGATATCCACAAAAGAGTCTGTGGCTTGAGTGTGCTTCGTGTAAAGTCAAAATATTTCGTGAATACAATTAGTAGTTTTGAATTGAAATTTATTAAAAACTTGATAAACCTATTTTAAATTGCATGTCTGTTTGTGTGATAATATTATGTTCAGTAGTTGGTTGGGTTTACAAGTGGGTCTTGGAATTTATTCAAATACTACACTGTCACCGGGTGCATGTTTGTTGGTTCCAAATTACACATTTAGCGCGTTGTCTCAAAGAGTGTGATTGCTATTTCATCACGCGCACGGAGATGATTTAGTGAATCTTGTCATACATTTATGAATGATAAATTAATGTTAGTAAAAATTGAAGCAAAAGGGCCAGGGACTGCATGTAGTTTTTTAGTTCTAATTTCTTGAAATTCGTCTTCGAGTTCCATGCAAATTATTCAAATGTTTTGACAACCTTTATACTCGTTTATTTGCTATGATAGCGCCCATCGTTGTAAGTTAAAATCTTGTTAAATTGCAGTTTACATCTTATTTATTGGCCACAACAAATTAAATTTGAAGCAGGATATACGATAAACGCAATAGTTAATGGTTTTGCTAGCTAATATTTTTATGATAGTTTAAAATCAATGGGATAGGTAATAGTCCAGGGTCGATAATTTTTAAAACCAAAAATGATTTTTAATGGGTTTCAACCCATTAGAAAAGGAGGGAAATATAATAAAAATGAAAGGAAAAATAATTTACGGGCGATCTGAGGTTGGGAAGGGGGTGGGGGTGAGTTTTTAAGGGTAAAAAACAGTTTTTCTCGATTTCCGGCAAAAATAAACGTCCTATCGAAAAAAGTCAAATGGAAAAGTTGTAGATAATAAAAAAATCTAAAACTTTTGTATTTACACTTTTTTCACATAACCTCAAAATTTATGTGAAAAATTAAAAAAACCAAGGTTTTGGTTTTTTATTTTTATCTTTTACAAAAAAAAAATTTTAACGAAATTTTGTGAAAACTTAATTTTTAATGTCCCAAATACGCTGTAATTTATTTGATTAAAAACATTTATTTTTTCACCTTATTTTGAATTAATATCGAAAAAACACCCTAATTTTCAATCGAAAATTCACCCGTCAAAATATCAGCTTTATTCAAAAAGTTGGTGTGGTTTCTGTTCGTTGAAATCTCTACTTTTCGATATAAAAAAAAATATATGTTACTATGGTAAATCTTCTCAGAAAACCCAATAATTAAAAAAAACTTGAATTCGAAAAATTTTTTTTTAATTATTGTAAATAATTTTGAGCTATTTATTAAAATTAAAATTTAGGCGGGTCTGGGTCTTACTACATACATACCTAATATTATATAATTCCCAACCTCAGATCGCCCGTAAATTATTTTTCCTTTCATTTTTATCATATTTCCCTCTTTTTCTAATGGGTTTCATTCTATTATAATTTTTTTCACTTTTCATTATTTTTGAAGGCTTCTTCTACCCTGGTCTATAAAAGAACAGCACCACATTGTCGGACTCCGGGTCACTAATGGTTTTATTATTAGCTTAAACTGTCAAACACCAAGCGGTCACCGGTGACCGCAACCTATTGTTCTATAATTGTGTCTATAATGACGGTACTCGACGAGTTAAAACAGATATATAATTATAATTACATTACGCCACTCGCCCCTGAGATTGTAAATTTGGCATAAGTATTCACGGTGATTTAACACGAAAGATACTTTTGAATGTAAGTAAAAAATTAGAGACAGTCAATTCACGTTTTCCATTTTACTCTACAAATCGTAAAATATTCTGTCATCGTCATCTGCTGATATTCATCCACCATGAACGAATATTGCCTGGTACGTGATGAAAATCTTATCTACACATATCTTATCACCGTTAAAATGGTCGAATACTTAAGGTATGCCATTAGTTTGGGGATGCTTGGTGCTGTACCTGTCATTTATTAGTTTCTGCTTAATTTTATTCTATAGAATACAATCAAGCACGGTCCTTAATGGCAAACTTGAAAGGAAACTATATTATGTTGTTATGTATAAATACAATCTATACATAAACCTAACGTCCGCTAACTTAATCTTGCACTGTCACATCGACACTGTCCACTACGAACATTCATGCATCTGGTATATTTATTTATCGATGTTTTATTTTCTGTTATATTTGAAACTAGAAGATTAAATGTATAATACGATGTACACAAATTGCAGATTAAATTAATTGAATAACAATGCTGAAGAATAACACCCGGAGCTTCGTAAAGCTTCACAGCTAAAATAATATCTTTTGAATTAAATTTGAAATGTACTATTCAAACTAACATCATACATGTTGAATGTTCTTTATCTATGCAGCGAAGTATGGAGAAGGCACATCGGCGGGTGATTCTAGAACTTGCTCAAAAGATTCCCCTGGGACAGACAGTGCCACAGATAGTCATCTGTTGTTGCCCAAGCCCGACAACAACTTTCTAAGCCCCGACGCCTTAAATTATCGAAGAGGTGAGAATAGACTCAACGATCGTTCATCAAAAAATATCAAAATGCGTGTTACTATAAATAATAATATTCAATTTGTATAAAAAGTTTTTTTAGTTCTTTTATAGTTATTTGTTGCGAAATATAACTGTTCGTTTAATATAGTATTAAATAAATTTATGCACGTACAAACAATGTGTGTTCCAGGAAGTCGACGACCATCAATACTACCCGTACCTGACATGGTAACCAGCAATTTAAATATCGCCTCTGATAACCAAGACGAAGAAGTCGAAGCTGATGAAAGTGAAGACGAATTAGAGGATGATGTACCGTGGCGTTCGCCGTCAGAAAAGATAGCGTACGCATATTTAATTAATTAATCGCCATAATTTGCATCCACATGCACGCAAGATCAATTTAAATAAAATCACAGTCTAGATACAATTAAAATTCTTTTTTAATTTTAATTACTTAGCAAAATTGTTTACTTATTTTTATTACATTTGAATTGTATTTTTTAATTTTTTTAATGCCGTTAACTGGATTATTTTTCCTGTTAACGACGACATTGTATTATTTTTCCATTGTTTTAGCGTTTACATTCACTCCTGTAGATAGCCGATCTGGATCACTCAAGCTGCATGAGTACTTACCGCACAGTACGTACAATCATAGTCTCATATACATACACGTCAGCTTCGTTTTTTTATTATCCTTAATAGATTCGTCTTTTTAAACATATTTTCGCTTATCAGCAGCCTAACTATGGCCCAAAAATGCAAATGAAATAGCATTTATTTTGAAACTTACTTTAATAGCATATAGCCTATTATTATTTTTATGTTATCCAAGATAACATAACCGAAGAAATGAAAACAGTTCAATTAGTGAATGAACGAACATTATAACTGCATCGGGTAGTTTATAAATACGTATAATAAAACATACGACTAAGAAAACCATCAGTCATACATAAAAAATGTTTCTTCATTTGCATCATTGTGAGTATGAATGAATTAGTTTACACCATAATTATTTTATTTTCTTATTTATGTGCTGTAACCACAAGCACCATCAGCCTTAATAATAAAATGATTAAATTAGTTATCTGTTCTAAATAGACAGATATTTAAAATTATACTTGTTGCAATTGTGTGCATTGTGTATCTGTATAATCCCTGAGCGTAAAAACCCAACCGCACGGCCCGTACCCCTGTCTCCAGTGATGACGTCACCACCAGCAGCTTCTCTTCATTGGCAGCCAGTGACATCGCGCACAGCGCCTGGCGCAACGACTATATGAGGTACGTTTATAGTAAGTTACGATTTAACAGTCGCAAACAAATACCAACCGTCTCAAATTACGAGTCCAATCGTATCAGCCTAACCATCTTTTAATTAAATAGATCGGACTAACTTACCTGTGACGTCCGATCCTCAATTGTGTAGGTAGCGTCATCCTCGCTAATTATACTAGTAGTAGGCACTAATCTGGGCACGCTGTCACAATATTTAAAGATGAACACATTCATAAAAAAAAATATTTATACTCTATGGTCATCTCACTGGCAACATCATTGTACTTCTTTGTGCACGACCTGTCACGTCGTACCCTGGAAAATTTTTCAATTTAATTTGGTGATTTTCCTACTAAATGGGTCGAAAACGTCGCAAGCAGATAGGAAAACTGATGGAGTGTATGCAGGAATTGGATAATTGGGCGAAACCGGCGAGAGGACGCATTCGTTGTCGTCAGTTTGGTAAGTTTTTTCTTGTAGGTACTTACACCACATTGTGGGGCGTTTTCCAATAGCTTCCACAAGCGGATAGCCTTGAGAATGATTGTGTACGCAACATACACACTTGAAACGTACCATAAGAGCCCTCAGGAGAGGTGAGCCATTGGTTATACGTTTTCTATATACCTAGATTAAACCACAAGAGCCTTCACGAGAGGTCGGCCGTTGGTTACACGTTTACTATAGATCGAAACCACAAGAGCCTTCACGAGAGGTTGGCCGTTGGTTACATGTTTACTATAGATTAAACCACAAGAGCCTTCACGAGAGGTTGGCCGTTGGTTACATGTTTACTATAGATCGAACCACAAGAGCCTTCACGAGAGGTTGGCCGTTGGTTACATGTTTACTGTAGATCGAACCACAAGAGCCTTCACGAGAGGTTGGCCGTTGGTAACTCTACTATAGAATTAACCACAAGAGCTTTCACGAGAGGTTAGCCATTGGTTTACTTGACTTTGGAACGAACCACAAGAGCTTTCACGAGAGGTCAGCCGTTGGTTACTTGACTTTGAAGCAAACCACAAGAGCTTTCACGAGAGGTTAGCCACGGGTTTAAGTCACATTTAGTCAAACATTTCCAACTGCAATCCTAGAGCTTTCACGAGAGGTTAGCCGTGGATCATTTAAACTACCTTGCAGTTAGAAACTTAAAATCAGTTCGCTTTGCCTCAGAAGAACATGAAGCCATTCCAGTTGAAGCCGCTCACCATGGCATGGCACCGAAGCCAATCAACATGAGTTGGAAACTACTCCTATAGTCTCGCTCCAGTCAGTAAATATACTCCGGAGCAATTGCTACCTATGCTTATGGGAAATGGGACATTTCCTTAGCCAGCTATTCCATAGTGTTGCATGTTGGACAAAGCCATTCTTATCAAATGATTACACTTATTTTCCCTTTTCATAATTATTATAACCTAATTCCTCCCAATGTCTCAAATAAATGAGGAGGGGAGGAGGTGCCACTAAATAAAGATGGGATTGAGTGAGACGATAGGATTGTGAATATCAAATGACTCTAGGAGCAGTTACTGTTCGCAAATTAATTAACAAACCTATTAAAGATTTTAAGGATACAGCCAGACTGCTCTGTAAATTATTAACATGTGCCCCTGAATGAAGATCAGAACACAAATAGGTGTTCTAGCTATATATACAGTAATAAATAGTGCTTCAAGACAAGTTTATTGCAAGTAAAGCTATCAGAGAGTCTAAACTTGAATTGGAGAACATCCAAGAAAACCTTTTAGACTACCAACTTCATGCCAACCACATCAACAAACACTGTGTGATGTACAAACAATATGTGTGTGTGTGTGTGTGTGTGTGTGAGCAAAAACCAAAACTAAAGCGAACACATGATTACAAGAAAATCAACAAGGCCGATGCATCCTCTACAGAATTTCTAATTCTACCCACAGCACTGAGGTCCGGATCATCGCTAGTACAGGTAGATCACATTACCTTTCTGAACAATAGAGTTCTGCTTTAGGTTTCCCAACCATACTTAGTTGGATTAATAGGTATAAATTACCATCACTGATATTCCTGTTCAGACAAATATACCACAAAATACCCACATAGGTGTAAAAGCAAAATAATTTTACTTCTGAAGGAAAATTGTTAAAGCTAAGGTGCTGTACTGTACCATATATGTAGATAACTGACTAAGTGATTACTTGCCAGTTTATCTTCACATTCCAGAACAAATGGTCCTTCAGGCAATTAAATAATTAAGGACTATAATAAATTATGTTACTATTAATATAAACAATGGATCTAGAACCATTTCTAAAACTCCTCATATGTTGAAGTGTCTTCAGATGCATGATCAACTTAAGAATGCATTTTATTTAATATCAGTGAAGGAAAATGGTGAATGACAAACATTTGCGGTTCTTATTTGTCTTCCCAAAGAGTAACCTTATACATTGTATAGTATTGATTACACGAAATTATGTTGATGATATTCCTTAATTTTGCAGAACATAAGAAATGTCTAGACTATATTACTAATACAGAACCTTACAGAAGTATTCTTGTAAACTTGGTATAGTATTAAATATTATTTATACTGAAAAGGGTGATTCTTTCAGTATATAGGATTAATTTCTTACTCTAGACAACTCTATATAAGTGCCACTTAAAAAGGTGGATTTTATTACAAGTATAATGAAAATTGTATGACCTAAACAAAAAGTTGCAGATTTTTGATTCCGTTCAACTTTAAAGTTAACATTGTTTGCTCGCCCAGCTATGGAATTTGGCTGGCTCCATGTTAAAATTAGGTTAATAATTGAAATTGTAAGGCCAATATAATAACTATTAAGCGAATACGCACAACAAAATATTCACTGTAAACAATATTTACGTTTGTTTGACATGTTGACATTAAAACATCAGATGTCAAATACGTTCTGTTTTACCAAAAAGAACTTGAACACTTGTTATTTAAGTTAATCTAGAATAAATGTTTACACCTTAAAAGAAAATAAGGCCGGTAAAGAAATACCTAAATAAACTCAGATGTCCCATTCGCACGAGTTTAAATCAAAGTTTGCCTCCAAAACCACTTGGTGTATCACGCCAAAGATCTATAGGCAAACAAGTATAAGAGACTGAAATATATGTATCATGGGTTCCTGACCCTGATATCTTTACTGTTGTTTTCACTATTCAGTAAGTGCAGGAAGATTCTTTTTCCATGCCCTCCTTCTTTTCGGAATTTTAAAAGTCATAAAGAGAAAAAGGGGGGGGGGGTATATGCAAAGGTTATTAGGATCCATTATTGATACCCACGGTTCAACTCAAGTTTCTGAACCTCATTAAGTTCTAGTGTTATCTCTGGTTGTTTCCTTCCAGAAGTTCACCCACTTTACACAACATATACAATGTAGTCACCACCATATAATCAGGAATGAATTCCTAAGAAAAGGAATAGGTACTGCATTCTATGGGAATAATGCTAGCATCACATTGTAAAGTAAAACAAAACAGCAATACGACTTTGCTTTGACTTTTTCAGCATATGTATCCGTTGTGATTATTATATTTTTACTTCTAAATTTACCTATCATACAGTTTATTGAATACTATTAGATAGGTACTTCATTAGTCCTAGGTCCTCTTGTGTGAAATTATTAAGAAACTACCTACAAGATTTTTTAGAAGTGTATACAAATTAAGGCCAAAAAGAAAAAGAAACTTTAATATGTGGTGTGCGGTTCCAGTTTTATTCTAAAATAGGTACATAATTGTGTATTATTACAATTATTATTTAAAACCCTGAGGGTTACTGGTAGAATATGCCACTTGGAATCAAGTTCACCATGTACCGTAACTTTATTGTATTGTGTACATGACAATCTAAATAAATCAATATTATTATGTACCTGTATGTACTCCAATGATAATCTTAGCTTAAAACTTTAGTTTAAAACATCAATTAATTAGCACATATAATTCACACTATCTCTATCACTATAGATTGTACCTAAATGATAATGCCAATAAACCTGAACCATATTTAATAGTACCTACCTACCTACTATTTTTTATTTTTAAGAACAATTTTTAAATCATTGTTCTGGGATCAATCATATTCTACAATTTCAAGTGAATGTATGTCTAGTACTATAACAGTGGACTCTCAACCTCTTCTAAAGCCTCACAGAGATGTATCAATCAGTATCAAAGTCATATATTTAAGTAAGACGACTGCCTGGTCAGTCAATCCATTTTTCCACCAACAATCCTAATATTGCATGAGCTTATTAGCTCTGTATATCACTATGTATGGAGTCATGATCATAATGTAGATCTACTGAAAATGGAGAAGTTAGATAATATATAAAAAAAAAAAAAAAAAAAAGAAACTGATAATTTTGAAGAAAACAACCTATTGAAAGACGTTAAATTTTCGCAATAGACTGAATTTGAACAACGTTATAGTTCAAAACGTACATAGTAGGTGTACCTATAGTTGGTGTAGTGGACACCAGAATTTCAAGATAATAATATTGTTGCTATGCTTACTAAATAATTAAATTAATAAATAAGGACATTTAATTATTTTTCCATCACAATACATAATGATGTAGATCTTAATATTAATCTTATAATATTGACATAAGCTTGTTTCTTCTCTTCACTTCACTTTGGTTCTACATAGGGTTAATGCAGTTTACCTGACAATACAATGATGAAAGTCAGGAACCCAAACTAAGATAACCCGTGCTTTGGGCTTCTGTTTATTTTTAATACTATTTTTAAAATGTATTTAATTTTATAAGTATTTTTATTTGATAAAAATGATTGAAAACAATACCATAACCATAAGTAGCTATTATATCTAATAATGGTTTAGTGGCTTACATCTTGGGGAAATTATAAACGTAATTTGATTATTGCTTAAGTTTTTACTAGTACTATATAGTACTCGTGAGATATTGATGTTATTGACAATGTCATATATCTTGTTTAAGTGCAACAATGTTCAATGATTAAACAGTGTTGTTTGTCAACACAACTCCTTCTTTGAACGTCTACTAGTATAATTAGCGAGGATGACGCTACCTATACAATTAAATAGATCGGACTAACTTACCTGTGACGTCCGATCCTCAATTGTGTAGGTAGCGTCATCCTCGCTAGGTCCCAACCCTTCCCGGATAATAAACATGTTTATTTTTACCCCTGGTCGAGTTGTGTTGCAGTTGCAGGTGCTTTGAAGTAAATGATGTTGCCAGTGAGATGACCATAGAGTATAAATATTTTTTTTTATGAATGTGTTCATCTTTAAATATTGTGACAGCGTGCCCAGATTAGTGCCTACTACTAGTATAATTAGCGAGGATGACGCTACCTATACAATTACTTATTTGAGTTCAGAATGTAAACCCGGTTTTACCGTTGTATGTTCTGGTTTTACAACAACTTAGCATTCTTGAGATGTCTAAAGAAATACGTATTTTCCAAATATCATCCTACTTCTACATAATATACCTCTCACGATAATGCCACACTCAGAGAAAGTACCTTAAATACTAAACATAGACAATTTCACAGAAACAAAACTATTTTCAAAAGCAATTCGAATTGCGTTCATACATTTTAACCTTGTGAGCTCCTGATAAAGACCGAACATAATATTTTTCTATCACTTAATCATTTGATTCTCAAATGAATCTTTCAAATCAAAATAAAAGCTTTTACAGCCAAATTGTCTACCTCATTTCCGGTATTTAAGCTGTTTTTCATCTCTGATGGATTGTCGTGGGCCACCGGTATTGTAACTGTAACTTCGTATACAATATAATACAATATAAATTTAAAAAACATTCTAGTCGGTAGGTTTTTTAAAAAAAAAGTTTGAGTAATTGAACACACTCAATTAAATAGAGATAAAATGGAGTTTAGCTGTAAAAGAAATACTCATATAAAACTAGTTTCTGTCCGCGACTTCATACGCGCAATCCCGTTTTCTCCCGTTCCCGTAGGATTATCAGGATTTTTTTAGAACCTTCTCCTGACAATAACAAACACAAAAAAAGAAAGATCAGCCAAATCGGTCTAGCCGTTCCCAAGTTATGGCGTGACAACGGGAAACAAGTTTCATTTTTATGTATATAGATTACTCATTTGTCAATGGTCAGTTTTGTTCTTGCCTTTTTTAGAAAGGTGAACAAAAAGGTGTTCGACTAAAGGTAGGTTAAATTAAGTAGAAATGTGCCGATTACAATTTAAAAACAATCATAATGTCTATTAATCTTTTCTAATTTTGTCACATGGGCGGCCCCGATCGCTTAACACCAGGTGATCCGTGTACTCGTTTGCCTCCTATTCCATAAAAAAAAGATAAAAAAGCTTATAAAACAAAAGTTTCTTTCTTATGCTGACTGATCAAGCGATTCTTTGTGATTTGATTTTTATCAATAGTTATTTGGTATAGAGATATAAGGCCTTTCAAATAAATTTAAAAGACGTATAGTGTAATTGATGACCCGTGGTAAAAAATCGTCCTGCAGGTATATAAAACAACAAATTAAATACTCATTATCGTCTTATTCCCGTGGGATTACCAGGATAAAAATATTCTATACTTCTATCGAGTCCCAATCTAATATATTGGTCCGTATCAAAACGCTTTTAAGTTAGTCGTCACCAAGTAGAAAAAACACAATAAACAACAAAAACATATCTTAAAGCCTTTGTAAGCTTGGCTTTATGTCGACATGCAATCAGGACGCTACAGGTCACGAGGAACGTCACGGGTGCACGTTCCATTGCTCATAGTCCTGTCTCTTCAGTCACCCGGCTGCTACCGTTTGACACGTCACGCAGTTGATATCAAATAATAAACGTGACTTGAAGTTAATAACGTCAGATGATACAAATGCAATCTTCCAGAACAACAGCTTCGAGTTTTACAGAAAGCAGACCTCGTTATGTTCGACATAGATTCGACTTTCGTTTATCGTTTTGATAACATAATTTCACTGATCACTAAGTCAAATATTTATTACGGTTTTCCAGATTTAGTTCATATAATTACAATAGTGAAAACACTGATAGGTGCGCAAAGTTCAAAAGCTAGGGATATATTTATTTATTGGCTGTCCTACATTTCATACTGAACTTAAATGGTGTTCAAAAGGAAACGAACACTTTCACCATTGTTTAATACTATAAAAATAAAACGGAAAACCTTATATTTGCATAGTCATTTAAAAAAAAGATAAAAATGTGGTATCATAAGAACGAAGTTGATTTATATTTCATCACACTTGCTTTGTGTCAGGTACAAAGACGCTGTCATAGGCCACTGGTTCGAGTATCTTATTAAATCCTACGTTATACTTATAATACTCATATTTTATTATACGTAAAAACATGGACTAATAAATAAAGGCTTAGTGTATTTTAAAAGTGATAATATTCACAAAACACTCGTTCCGAGAGAAGGAATTTCAGCTAACGAACCCTTAGAAGGACTTGTAGAATACAATTCCTTCTCTCGGAACGAGTGTTTATTTCGCCTTTTATACTAAATGCATGTGTGATGTCAGACCTAGATATTTTCCAATTCTCCAGTGACTAACAAATTAGTAAATTTCGGCACATGTCCCTATACTATAACTCTGAGCATGTTAATTTCGTGAATTTGATGTTCAATGTTAGATTTAAATAACACTTAAACATAGAATTTAACACAGTCCAGTTATGATTATCGTATATGTATAATATTTTTATTAGATGTGATGTACCTTTAATTTGTAAGTATACATAATAACTTTAACTTTCACAACTTTTAGTAATTTTTAATATTATATTTCTTAAAAAGCTTCGCTTTGCCTTATTGAATGATGAAAACTTTATTTTTAAATTAAAATAAAGGTTAATGTGACCGCAAATAACCACAATGATACGAGATATTTCAGAATTGTGAAAGGATTCCCGCCAGTGTCACCATTCATAGGAGTGAGCCCAACTCTATGTTACTTGCTGAAGGAAAAGAAATCATTATGCTGTTTACAACTAGCACAAGTCTGTGAACACTGTGCTTATAGAAATGCTAAAGAGTACCAATGGCAGAATAAAACTATCATCCTTGCTGCTGATTACGCATCAAATGGAATATACAACTTTATTATACCCTTGCGGGCCCATTTTAGGTCTAAGACCTCCCTAAATCCTATTATTTTGCTGTTAGAACGCAGACCAGACATAGCATTTTTAGATGCAATATCTTACTTCCCGTTAGTATATTGGATGTTGGGTAGCATTGATTGGTAAGTGCGCGTGACATTCATTTTATATTGTATTAAATAACCGTAAGAGTTATTTACTCAATTTCTCCGATTTCAGTTTGGATGACTTGTTGCGTGCCGGCATCACATTGGCTGAAAACGTAGTCGTTGTCAACAAAGAATTATCCAATTCTGCGGAAGAAGATAGTCTGGCAGACTGTAACACAATAGTTGCTGTACAAACTATGTTCAAGTAATGGTTTTCAATAATTTAATGACGCTACGCCATAGCGAATTCTTTCAAAACGTTGTCTATATCTCTAATAGCCATTAGCTCAGTTTAAAATATCGTCTCGTTTGTGATCTGTTTGCGCTGCGAATTTATTCTCTACTTTTATACGTTTCTGAGAGAAAAGTTGGTATCAATTAGCAATATGCTTTCTTTTTTTCAGGTTTTTTCCATCAATAAAGTCAATCACAGAACTATCACAATCATCAAATATGAGATTTATGCAATTCCGTGCACATGACAAATATGCCTTACATCTTTCGAAAATGGAAAAGGTAATATACTAGTATCAATTTCTTTTATCGCAACTACAAAATAAAATAACCCTCCAAAATCCTCCGACAAGTTTCTTGTTTGGTGAAGCTAAAATTTTGATATTTTTGGACTGGACTTATATGTACTTAAGAAGGTATGCGTACCTACTCAGTAGTTTGATATCCCTTTCACAGAAAATATTTGTAACAAGTTCTTATACAATTAAAGCACAAATGCTTGCATTCAGAAGTTGTTTAATATTTTTTTTTAGCGAGAAAAGGAGCGTGGTTCGCATATATCTTATATGTTCCGGCTGCCGTTTGCCGCAGGCTCTGTGTTCTCGGCATCAATGCTAGACACGTTACTGTATCAAGCATTTGTAAAGGATTATGTGATTACCTTTGTGCGATTATTATTGGGAGTAGACCAAGCTCCAGGATCAGGATTTCTCACTTCAGTAAGTCTCAAATAATTCTTAAGTACACCGATATGGCTGTGCTCCATATACTTACAGGCTCGCGAATATCTTATTTTTTGTTAACTCCCTGTGTCACTTCACTGAAAGGGCGAATATTGCGATAAGCCAATAGCACTTTAATTAAATCTATAAAATTATTAGAAATCGCTCAGGCTTTTATATGTTTAACTTGGACTTCTAACAGATGAAAATCTCAAAAGAAGACATGTGGATACGAACATATGGTCGGTTATATCAAAAATTATGTTCAACTACATGCGAAATTCCGATTGGAATATATCGCACTCAGGATACGACATTAGCCGATGCATCTCACCACGTGAGTATGTCGCCAAGGACCCCATCAAAGTGGTTTTGGTCACGCCTCGCGAGAATGCGACCATCGCGTGCATCGGTGAGTCGGTTAACTCCCTACTCTCAAATATTTATCTCCTTAAATACAGTCCTTTACTGCAGTTTACGCCTGAACGCTATTAATCCATCACACACCATTTCAAAACTTACAAATATCTAATAATAATAATAGTACATCACAAAATTGCATCTCAGTAGTCCGAGTCTTTGGACTGTATTTCGGGTATATTTTTTTAAATCTTATTTTTCTTTTTAACGCGTCAACGCTACACTTTTTTCCATTTTTGTAACCTATCTACATATACATTCTGAGCCTTACACTTGTGGAGTGTCTGTAATTAGTAGCAATTTTTATATAACTTCTACCTTTCACGCGATACTTGTACCTATTGTCTAATGGACCACACGTGCTTCAATTTTATGATTTTTACGCAAACTGCTACGGCCGGACGGGATAGGTTGTCTAAGTTTGGCTTATTGGACACGGTATAATGAAATGCATCATGTGTCGAATGAGAAGTAACCTGAAGGGTACTGGCTAACTAAAACAATATCACTATGGAACTCGATGATCGCAATCCCGCCTATATGTTATACTTGTAGTTTGTGTTTTGCATGATACTATAGAATTCTAGAACTTGCGAGAAAGATAAGTAAATCAATATAGTTTTACTAGACTGGTACACATTAAATATAGCTAACATTGGTGTAATTTTATTTAATAGTACATATTTTGAGCAACAAGTCGATCGCTGCATGTCCTCACTTACATTACCAGTAAATAGGCTCTAATCCCATAATTATCTTCTTAAAGCAGTGATGATCAAGGAAACACTAGCGCAATTGCTTAGCTTGCATGCTTCTAGTATAAAGGAGTAGATCCCATACTATAGGTAACTCATGTCTCATTATTTCAAAAGACTAGCTAGGACAGTAAAAAGGTGCATAACAATGCTTAGTGCAGTCTCAATGCAAATTATCAATAATAATTTGTGCATACTTATACCGAAAACGATAGCAAGGGAATGAAAATTATGAAAAAAGCATTGAAAAGTTGGACAAATTGACAATGTGTTGTTAAGTTAGAAAAAGTATTGGAAAACAGTGACACGATAGTTGCAGCAGGAGGAAGGCGAAGGCGGTGGATTTTCTACTTGCGGGCGCCGGGAGGCAGCAAGCTGCCTCAGTGGCTGCTACGGGGAACGCACGCCGGCGGTAAGGTCAATACCAGAGACCTTTCACATGGACCTTTCGATTGAATATGCTAACTAGGAGACCCAGCCGACATCGTTATACAAAAGACTTAACGACGGCTCTGCATTTACCGAATAGAATAAAATATTTACTTAAATTTGAATATTGTTTAAAAAAAACTGCATAAACTAAAAAAAATGCCTAATGATTTGCAATCGTGTTTCTGAACAAAACACTTGTAGGTATACTGTGATGTTGCACGGATTGAAAACATACGTAACTTCTTAAACAGTTACTAATTCTCAAATCTTCTTGGTGCCTACTGCAGTGCTACAAACAAATATTGCGCAAAATGATAAGAAACAAATTTCCAAAAGTATTTTGGTTGGTACAATATTTTTTCATAGAACGCAGTAACTATTTAGGCTTAGTAATTCTATGTGAAAGGACTCTGTTTGAAATTGGTTTACAGAAACTAAATTCTAAAAAGAATTGAATTAAAAGGTGGTGGACTTGATCCAAATGGCGTAGTCTATTCTCGGATCGGGCAAAGATTTATTGATTTTTTATCGATTATTTTTACCATAAGCTAACAAAACAATAACAATTATAAGTACCTATTATATTCATTTAATTGTCTCGACAAAAATATTATCTCAAAATAATACCTAGATCTACTCGAGGGTCAATAACTTTTTCTCCATAAGTCGATTTATTTGCGGTTTTGGTGTTATAAATTAACGACGCCACTTGGACCCTAGTCCATCTTAAATTGTCCGATCACCTTTATTAACATGTTTTTATTAGGTTGACCTGTAACGAACTAATATGTAATAGATAAAATCTTTGAATCTGAATTACGCACCTACTTAATTGATGTATCAACATGATACTTGACGTGTTCGTGACGTTCACGGTACTTAGTTTAAATTACTCCATCTAACTTCTAAATTGTATGAAACATACATAGATAAAAAAAATAGACAATTTATTGCCTTTTATTCTGGCGGCAGTCGGAAACATGTGAAAAAATTGAACATCGTCCAGGTCGAAATTGTCTATGGACTTGTATATCAAAATGTCAGACCGAAATAATTCAGTTTTGAGTGGTGAAATGAGCAGGAGTCGAACATTGTATTGCTGTAGTAGCACATTATTTTAAAGAAAACCTCATCTGAATTTGAGTTGCATTAAAAAATTACTTACTAGCTATGACAAAAATGGCGATCTTGTTCGTCTAGAAATAGAAATACACTCACATATTACTCAACTCTTTTTTACTTAAGGTTTAGTCTGATTACAGGTCCATAAATGTTGCGAAATGATGAAACAAAAAAATAGATCATAACTTTAAATCGTTAATAACAATATTTTCAGGGCTAAAAAAATGGAAATGACCTTAAGTATGTTCCTTGATTTAATCGTCTCTGGGTTATTCTGTACACTTTAGAAAAATATAGGTGTGGCTGTTGAGCATAAAATAATGTCTGCAATAGATAACTTAACGTTTTAAGATAATTGAAACAACCCTGTTAAAGCATGCAAAATAATATTAAAATTCACCGTCATTGATCAATAGACTTTTAGATAGATCATCTAGGAATCATGACCCGCATAGCCATACTGCTTGCATAACTATAAAAATAATAATTTGAATTCACCATTATTTTAATTTTCGTTATACTGCAATTATAACGTTTATTTGTAACTAGTTTAAAATAGAATTAGATTGAGAAGACATATTGTTAAAGTTTCTAGTCAGTCATCAAAGTCCAGCTTTTTGTTCATGTCAGTCATATACATATACAAATAAAAGCAATATTTTTATACAAAATAGCAGTTAAATTATCCTAATATTTATAACATTAGGTGCAATAATCTCAAGTGTTATCTCACTAAGTCTGCTTGTGATTTCATTAATAGTCACAATAAAATAAATAGCAATACAATGCATCTTCTACCTTCAATAAAATATATTAGATATAAAGAAATTGTACCTATGTGTAAAAATTTATTTACATATTTTGTTGTGAATAAGTGCGGTGGGTCATAATTCCAAAATAATGTAGGTAAGATAGGAGTATCAAGAATGATGTTGAAGTAGTGAATACTTGAATACCATTATCAATCAGCCAAACTACGAGGCCTATAATATTAGTGCATTAAATTAGTGCTTACTACTTTTATGTGATTACTATGTGTTATCGGATCTTACTACGTAAATTAGACCTTAACAGATAGACTTAAATGCCACTTTACAAGGGTCTCGCATAACATAAATCGATATGTTTTTTTCTGTTATAGAAGTTTTTGCCTAACAAAATTTTTATTAAGTTTAAATAAATACCGCGAAAATATTTGGTTATCAGATCTGTTAACGGTTTTAAGAAAATTAATTAAAAAATAATTGTTTTTGTCAATCACATAAAAATCGCCTGCGCATATATTTTTCTTGTTTTATTGGTATATCCACATAGTATATCACTAAAAGAAAAATTAAACGTATGCCTCACTCCAAGTAGTTGGGTTACCAGTGTAGAATAATTACTTACATGCATCAAACTGATTTCAATCGTACTCTTCTCACTATACCCGAAGTATTATTTCACCCATAGAGCGAGCAAAACAAAAGCAGTTCATGCATGTTTGTCTTTACGCACAGGCACCAACAATAATGTGTATGTTATTGTATATAACCCCAACGATAACTCTCACTTAACATGGAATGTATGAAATTTCTATTAAAATCATATTATATTATTGTTGATGACGACTTATTGATAATGTCTAAAAAGATAAATGAACCCGATATAATTAATTTTTGCTTTCACAGTATTCTACAAGCCTAGCGGATGAAGCACGAGACAATCATGCTCAACAAATTGAAAGGGCTGAAATAGCTAATCTAGTAAGATCTAGAATGGAATCGTTGAACTTAACAGGTATCGACTATGACGATGTAAGCGAAAAGAGGAACAGTCTATCTTATGTAATTATAAATCCTAGCTGTGATCTCAACTTGCAAGAAGGCGACATTATGTACGTAAACACACATGAAACTCATTTTGTTTATGTTAAAAATTGATTTCAAATAATACATACTTTCTTCTCTTTTAGATACTTAGTCCGCCCTTCACCTTTCTCTGCACAAAAGACGTTTGAACGCCACAATAGCCGCCGCAAATCAAATATAAGTTTTTGTTCACAAGCATTAATTCAAGCTCAGGGAGTCTCGAGCAGAAGAGGATCAACTATCGGGGCAAGTTTTGTGCCACCGCGAGCGCCTCCGCTTTCAACTACTAAAGCAAATTCATTATCCTTACCTGATAGCCCCACTATTATCACAGATTTTCGAGGGAGATCTAACTCACTTCGGGTCGTCGACGATATACTATTAAGAAGATCTAACTCACTACGACAAGGGTTGAGTGGCGTTGGTTCTCGCCGCCGTAAGAGTAGTCTCGAAGAAATTGGTATATCTCATTTCAATTCATTATTGCAACACCAACAACAACAGCAGCAACAGAATGCCTTCAAAATAGCTTTAAATGGCAGTATTGGTCTAGAAGTAACGCCACCAGAAGAGCACCCACTAGAGCGCCTGCCTGGTCCCAGTATACCACTCGGTGGATACCAAGAGGTGGCAGCTGCTTTACCGTCTTCATCTCTGGGTCCCTCGCTCCCAAGTGTCACTCCAACCCCAGATCCCCAACATTTGCAAGGGACTATTGTATGATACCACCTTATGTGGGGACGACGACTGAGTTCCGTTATTAGAAACAAGTGGACGTAGATATATTAGCCCGGTAAAATAAAATGGTATTTCTCCTGTAGCTGATACCGGCTTAGTAATAAAGTTCACTGTGCGAGACTAACTCATTCCGTAGCGTCCCTACCTTCTAAATAATTATCACGTATGTACATGTTTAAGTACAGACTTAGTGATTTAGACTGGTGGTGAAAGAGCTGTGTAATTTAAGCGGGATCAATTAGTTACTAGGTAATGGGGATTTATTAAGTCAGCACGTCGCTGCCGGTGTATATCAGAAGTTGTAGTGTTTTATTTGAAATTGTAAATTAAACTTAAAATAAACTTTACAAAATGTTAATTATTGTAAATATATTTACATAGAAATCTATTTAACTTAAATAATAAATATAATCACTTAGGGTTCATTTTTCTAGACTAACTGACCAAATTAAAAAAAAAACTTGGATTTGAAAATAGATTCCGTACTTTAATTATGCAGATTAGATTTAACTAGATTTCAAATATCACCCTAAACAGAATCAGATAATAAAGAACTTACATGTATTGATGTCTTGTTATTTATCTCTACCATCTATAATTCATTATTAATGTAATACTATTAAGCTGAGAAGTTTGTTTGGTTGATCGCGCTATTCTTCAAACTTTTGTTAGATATCCGGGAAAGGGATTGGCTATAAAACAACACGCTACATATGACAAGCAGCGGGTCAAACCGCTCGAGAGTATTTAGCAGTCGTCATGAATGTCTACCCGATTGATATTAAAATAAGATATGAAAAGTGTAGGACATTGTAGCTATAAGGTAAATTATACATTTCAATTCTCTTCTAGGTCATGTTGTCGTTTTAGTTACTTTTGTTATGTTATAACAGTAGCAGTGTTTGTTATTTGGTTTTATAACCAAACAAGTTATCATACAACCCGTTATCGTCTGATGGTAAGCGATCGACCCAACCTATGGATATGTTATTGTTAGATTAACCCTAACAGGCCTGTTTTTCACTATATCTAACACAAATAAGTAACGCAGTCATGATTCACGATCTAATTTATAATTTATTTCGAAGAAAATATTTATTTCACTTAGTTAGAAGTTTTTATAATCACAGGAGTTTGAATTTCCAATATACTCAGATGACTATAATCATCTTATCAATCAATCATCTTCATGTTCCTATATTCATATATAGATTATCTTGGCTACAGAGCCAAAAATGAATTGAGCCATAGTTAATTTCAGTGGAATATTTGGTAATAGTTGGTATTATTTTTTGTTTCAAACATTTCAGACAAGGTGGAACACTTAAATTATTTATATATTATCATAGTTTGGTTTGGCTATGAGCTATGCAGTTACTTGTGATTGATCTATTTATGGTTGGACGGAGTCTACGGGGATGAGGTAATATTTTATTACTATGAGGTATTAACATCAATATGTAAGAGTACAATATTGCCTTGTTGGCAAGGTGTCACCGAGTCATAGGTTCTAATAGTTCTTATAGTTCTAATAGGTCTAATAGTTCTAATAATGGCGAACAGAAAGAGGACAATAAAGTCCTCTTTCTCTTGGCCAGTGTTTATATCTGATAGCCAAAGCTAGTAACAGGTAGGCTCTTTTTTACCAGTTATTTTATCGAGTCCCATGTTCTGGAGGGGAATCTATCTACATATATAAATAACAATGAAATTTCTTTCGTTAGTCTCGCTAAAACGTGAGGACGACTAAACCCATTTAGTTAGTTTTGACCTTGAAATGTTTGTGGAAGTCTAGGGAAGGCTAAATGAAAAAAAATGTAGGCAGTAGAAGTTTGCCAGGTCAGCTAGTACCATATTTTTGGGGGGCCTCCACTCATATTTTGTATGATCTACAGCACATATAACTTTTATGAGTGAAATGTGCAAATATAATAAGGGTTAATCTTTATCTCATGATTTTATGGTTATTGCCATCAGTTACTACGAACAAAGCTATGAATAAGAAAAGGGACTAATGCGCAAACCTGTTCGTTACCCCGCATCACAAAAAAAACAATTACATAAGTATAATTACTTACCCAGAACTGAGAATTTATGATAGCTGAAAATCTGTATAATATTTATTATACTTCAGGAATGGTACACAGCCCTTCTTCTAAAGAGGCAGTTTTAGTTACAATGACCTTTAGGTAACGAACGTTTACGATGACTAGATTAAGTACTGATCACTAAAATTGTTAGCACACACTTAAGAATGTCTAACACCAATATGCTTAGTGTTTTCAAAACAATTTCCTTCGGGCGGAATTTTTTTTCATCAAAACAATTGCCTAGACCAGGGTATTATTTCATAACCGAAACAGACTCAGAATTGAAAGCATCATCGTCATCATCATCGAAAATGGATTATTCGTATTTCAAGAAAAACCAAGTGAAAATGATGTTCATATACGTAACGCTGATAAATATACCAATAACACAAGTAAGTATTTTCACGATAATAAATTACATCACTTTAGGTCTTATTTAAGTTATTATGTTCCGAAATTTTTAGATTTTGTAATGTGTTATAGGTGGTGTAAATGTATTATATATATCATTATTGCAATTTTTGTTCTATAACTTTGACATCTTAGTGAAACCGTAGTTAATTTTTAAACCGCACGAACTTAGAATGATCAGTCGCAGGTTGTGCCTAAAAGTGAGGATCAAACTAGGCACAGGGTAATTTCTAAACCTTTTGCTTCTGAGGATGGGTCGATTTATGACCAATTTTTGTTTTATTGAGCGTGTTAGTGTTCAGAAAATGCTCATAAACATAAATGTGGGAGACCCATGCTTTGGCACGAATGGGCCGGCTCGACCGGAGTGATACCACGGTCTCACAGAAAACCGACGTGAAGCAACGCTTACGTTGTGTTTCGTCGTGTGTGTGATGTTACCGAAGGCCAATTATTTATTACCCTCCCCTTTTCCAATCTCCTTCCTGAATCCCCAACGATCCTCAAACTCCTAATCCCCAAAAGGCCGGTAACGCACTTGTAACGCCTCTGGTGTTCCAGGTGTCAATGGGCGACGCCGATTGCTTACCATCAGGTGATCCGTCTGCTCATTTACCGGCTTATGCCATAAAAAAAGACAAGACACTGTGTGTGTTATTTTTAGACAATGTACATGAGTATGTAGAAGCAGGAGTAGAAACGGTGCGGTGGCGGCGTCAGCGTCGTGTACACAGCATGCAGGCGTCGCGGCGTCATCACGAGCTCTAAGGAGCATTGATGTCGTATCATCACACATCGTAGATTTGCTTTAAGTATTCCATGAAATGGCTCAACTCAGTTAAATGAGCTAGACTATTCTGTAACTTCCAATTCGAAAGATCGAAGTGAACTCGATGGCGGTGCATCATGGCATATGTTGTTAGAAAATTTTTGACCAATGACGAGCGAGAATGCGATCCAGCACAATATGAAAATTCGAATACGGCAGTAAACTAAATTTTATTTCAATGTCCGCCTGGTAGGTTATTTCAAAACATTATACACACATTTTTCTTTTCTTACAAAATTAAATACTTTCGACGATATATTGATTTGAACTATCCTGTGACGTCACGATTTTCTACATTTTATAGGGTATACGTAACGACCTCCCACTCCTAAACTTAACCCCGTTTTATCTAAGTATTGTTTTCTTACACGACAAAATAAAAAAATATGTATGTAATATTTTATCATTATCTAACTAACGGACTAATCAAATTAATTTCATTTCCATACACTTACTATCGTATTGTCAGTTACAGAATAGCCTAACAGGTCATTCAATTGTCTACGTTTCAAGAAGAATCGTAATCGACGTTGGACCGAAATATAAAAATAGGCATTTTCCACGTTAGGGGTTGTAAAGAAATCAAGGAAAATACAAATTTTCCCACTTTTACAATACTCATAATACTGTAAAAGTAAAAAAAAATATTAAAATTACATAACATGCAATACATCTTAACTATCAATGTACTAGTTGTAATTTTCTTAAGTTAAACCTTTGATATGTATTTAATAACTTATCATAGCTTTATATTATTATCATAAAATGAAACTAATCTATATATCTATATATAAACCAAATAATAAATAACTAGAGCTAAGGTAAATAAAAACTAAAGTATTCAGACCTAAAATGAACATGAGGAATATATAGAAAAAAATAAAATAATAAAAGGTAAACTAACTTAACGCATCAAAAAAATTATCCTCATCATTGTCATGATGTGAGGTGCCCAAAAGGCTGGCAGTATTGCAATATTTCGCTCGTTATGCTAAACCTTTGACCAAGATAGTCGCCAGCCTTTAGATCACCCGAAGTGTCAACCTGTATAACAATTTTTAAGTATCCTGTATCCTGATATTAAAAGTATTCTGATATAACTTTTAAAAGTATGAAAGTATATCACTGCAAAAGGAAACTGAAAATTTAGGTTGACATCATTTTTAACTTAGACCCTATTGACAGATTTAAAGGCATTCTTAATGTTAAACTTCAGGATTACTTCTCCTTTCCTGGAATACAAGTACGGTGACAAGGCTTGCAAGGCTGCGTCGCAGCCCCTTCTCAAGTTGAAGGGGCTAAAATTTATCAGAAAGATATTCACTATAGAATTTACAACAAATCTTGATCACGATAAATTGTTCCTACGGCAATGAGACGAATACCGCCATCATTCTTGCGCAGGGAACATAGATTGGCCCCGTACAGAACGTCGATGATGGATTCGTGCGCATTGCCGAAGAGCATGAGATTGATCAAAACCGTAAGCTCCTTCAGCAGCGTCACGCCGGACACCCCGGCGCTTGAGCTCGTGCTCAGATCTTTCTGATGCTGCGGCGTCAAATCTGGCCTCCGGCAGAACCGCTCCGGATGGAGCCTATGGCAATGACCACTTGTCAACCTGTAACAGATAAGATATGAATATGTGTTTCTGGAGGATTCGGAAAAGAGAGATCAACTTAATAGTTGAAAACACCCGGCCGGGTGTTTTCTCTCTAGAGCTATAAGCGTGTCTGGAGAACCGCCAGTACGTTGTTGCTGAAAATAATTCTGGCTGCACCGCTAATATTACCTTCATCTACATATTTTGGCCTTAACTACCTGGCCCGCAGTTTTAGGATCCAGAAGCAAGGCCGCAGTGCGCTTCTGCCTCCGCTGCTGCTGCCGCCGCTGTCGCTGCGCTTTCTTGCTTCTTTTGCACCCCTTCTCGCCTCACCAACTATATGCCACTCGCCACCGCCTAGACCCTTGTCGGCAGGATAGGCGCACCTGTGGCTGGGACTCTGGCCTGCTAAGCCACTGCGCCCTTTCGTCTTTTCTGACACCCTGTTGACGCACTCATCGTGGGTGCAGCTGGTGCTTGCACCAGTGGAGGCACCGAGGCCCTCGAAGAAGCCAGTCGTGGCCTCGAAAAAAATAAATACTTTTAGTGGTCCTGCACACGGTATTGTCACCACGCCGCTACTGCGATGCCTCCGCACAGTTGCACTGCAGATATGCGTGTCGCAAAGCCCGCAACCGCGTCGCTGCTGCGCCACCTCCGCGCAGGTACCCTCTGTTTGAAAAATGAGTGGCGAGTTCAACTATGGAGACAATGTCTTATTCGTGTAGCATTAGACAGTTTTAGAGGAAAATGAGTCCTTTTATACGGCAGTAACTGCATAATAACGGATTTCGGTATAACGTGTAACAGGTTCGTTGTATAATAATATCCGTTAAAAAAAACAATGATTTTAACGGGATTTTTTTTTTTAAGGGGGGAAAATCATCGAATGACTGCTCCCGCATGGGTGAGGCGGAAGGGAGTGTCAGACTCTTACTGACTAAAAACCACCCCGTTCCTTCTCCTGCACGTCGAGCCGGAGCCCCGGTTACCCGTTAGGTTCTCCGCGACTCCGAATCGGCATCGGCCCTATTGGGCCCCATCTGTGGTGGTCTGATGGCTCTTTGAGGCGCGCGCGGAACGCGACGCGCCGTACGCTCGGGTCTGTTTCTGGTCGGACGGGGAGCCACCCATGCTCGCCGTCCGCAGGCCCGCGCTTACGGTGGCCGGAGATCATCTCGCGATCCCCGATGCCCGGTGAGTCCTTCGCAATGGCTGGGTTGCGAGGAGGCAGCGCTTCGCTGCCTCACGCGTCCCGCCTCCTCCTTAGCTAGCATGACTGCTTCGCAAAAGGAGGAGACGGCATCCCAATCCCCCTCGCTCCGCATCATGGCCTGCACTAGGCCCGGACGCGAGACGTCGCCATCGCCGATCACTTCCCTGAGGGCACGGCGGTGCTCAGCCCACGCAGGGATGATTTTAACGGGTACTGGGACACGTAGGAGTTTGTTAGTACCAATAAACGTGAACGGCAAAAATATTTATTTCTGAATTAGATAAATATTAATTTATAGGTTATACCGCAAAAGATTATTTTCAAATGTTTTAGAAAACTACTCAGTCAGTCAGCTCATCAACGCGACGTGATCATTACTTAGTTCACCGACAGAGCTTTGAATTTACAAACTATTTTCACCCAGCACTCTTTTGTCGTCGACGCCATTAAACTTTTTGACCAATGTAGCCATTAAAATTGTACAAAATGTAATGCTTCCACAGGAATCTCCGGTTCCAAAGAATTTTGGGCTAAATTCGTCGGATTAGATGACTTCAATCTATTTGCTGGATGACCACTTGATCTCAATTTTACACATATTTTACACGATCACATATATTTTTTTTTAAATGCAACTTATCAGATTCAAGTGATATACTAACTTTTTTATCATTTTAGTGTACAATACCTGGCACGTTTTTTTGGAAACCGAGGTTGGGTCTCGACTTGGCTATGCCTACAACCGGTAAGATAAGTTAAAAACTTTACTAATTTCCTATTAAATCTGTTCCGACCGTTCTCAATAATATTTCTCCTGATTTTATACGAAAAATTTAGATGCGTAAGAGGTAGGTATGCCAGAGTAATTTGAGGCTGTATGTATTTCTTACTTGATTGACTATGGACTGGAATAATACATAGGCTACTTTTAATCACACAAGAAGGCGGGCAAAGCTGTTGGTAGAAGCTAGTTATATATAATAATAATATGTACGTAGTATCATTTCCGTCTACCTACCTCTACACATTCTATATAGCACGATTTTACTTCTTTTAGTTAATCAATCTATTCAGCAGATAAATAAAATTAGAGTGTGAATTTAACACGAAATACCTCTATATACCATGTTTATTATTTGTTTACTAGAGAAAGTTGGTGGCCTGTCGACCTCATATAGTGCCTATCACCAGTTAAAAGGAAAAAAATATTGTCTCTAAAATAATACGTACCTGTTTAAGTAGCATACGCTTGTCTCTTTTAAATTGGTGTTTTTCAAAATGAAACGCAATCTTAGGGTTTAGTTAGGTCTGTCACATGGTTCGCACTAGGATATAAGCTAACCTGATGACGACTAACCGCAGCGGAAGCAGCGGTCGCTGCGGTCTATCTCAGAGGTACATTTGGCGCCCACGTGGCAGCGGTAGCACCTCATAGGCCGGATATGGAGCACCTTGACCTACGCCGAGACCCAACCCACCAGGAGTCTTTTGCCCTCTTTTATCTTTTTGGCCGCTGTAACGACCACCACCTCATGCTCCGTCATGGCGTCGTCCAGGCCCATTATCCGCAAGTCCAAACACTTGTTGGACTCGCCCACGCGCGCCCACGCCCTGAGCCTTTCCGTTAAGGCATTAGCGGACGGATCGCTGGTCGCGCCGGGAACCTCCAATAGACGGGCTCCACATGTCACTTGATTGCGAAGCGGTCAGGGGCCCCGAAATTCGCGGGAGTCACCGCCCCCTCAATTTGGCAAGGATGTCGCCATATGTCACGCCCCTCTTGATCGCATCTGTATCTATTGAAGCGGCTGTAGTGTTATAACTAAAGCCGCATCATATCTACAGCGTTTTAGGGCCGAGAAGCAAGGCCGCAGCGCGCTTCTGCCTCTGCTGCTACTGCCGCCGCAGTCGCTGCGCTTTCTTGCTTCTTTTGCACCCCTTCTCGCCTCACCGACTATCTGCCACTCACCACCGCCTAGACCCTTGTCGGCGGGGTAGACGCACCTGTGGCTGGGACTCCGGCCAGCTGAGTAACAAGTGAAACAAGTGAAACAACTATAGGAGCCGCTCGTGCCCTCCCCTGTAATTGAGCGCCACGACCAGCTTAACCAGAAAAAGTCGAAGGCTTGGCCCCAGCAGCGACCTCGCCCGACTAGCTGCTAGTGGGGGACGGAGGAGCCGACTTTCCAGCACATTAAAACGCTGCTGGAAATTTCCCGCGCATCTCCCGCTACATTACCTTAGCATATCGGGCTCCGCCGAGGGTTGAGTTTGGCTTGCTTGAGCCTTCAGGTTATCTAATTTATTATTTTTTCAAATCGCAGTATTTTCCTATGATCTTCTTAATAGTTTTCGATGATTTGTTAAGTCATCATAGCCACATTTTTAAGAGTTTTCGCTAGAATCAAAATTACTGGAAATGCAAAAATGGAAATGAAGAGAAGACTACCACCAGCCGCCATTTTTGACACCCTATTTTGAAAATGATTTTCAGAATACGTGTCAAAAATGGGGATTTTTAAAGGAACTTTGCCATTAATTTATACATTTTCTTCGACTTTGGCTCGTTTTCATTAGACGTTTTTGAAGGAATCCATTGTTTCGAAGGAATTTTAATCACATTAAGCATTTTTCTTTTCATTTTCAGAAAGCAGTATCGAAATAAACTTGCCTACGGATGACAATATGAAAAATGGTCTTGTGACGGTAGTTGATGGGTATCAAGCTGGGCTTTCTGTGATAAGTGTAGCTGCAGGTGCATCTAGTGCAAGTTCAGATTCACAAATGGATATGAAGTCGTCGTATTACCACACAAATGTATATAGATGGGCGTTAAGATATCTCAGTTTGTAAGTAATCACTTATATCAACATCCACGTATACGTAGCTTCCTAACTAATCGACAAACGATTTAACTTCAACTAACTTTTATTTGGCCTTCGAAGTTTATTGTACTCACTACGTTTATTATAGGGTCTATTATACGCGTATGCACAATTAATACAAAAAATTCAACCTACATACAATGCGACTCCGTCATTCCAATTATTGAGGTTATATAAATGGTGAAAACACAAAAATATTAATTTGCTACAAGCTTTTATTTAACTTGCAATGTATTTCATTGTATAGTTGATGTGTGAGGTACAATCTTACGACCAAATATTGAAGCTCAACTAATTGAGCTGAAATTTTGTATACACGTTTAGTTTGCACGACCATAAATGCGTCGCTGTTCAATTTAAATTATCTAAGAATTGGTCTTAACCCATTCTTGGTCACTGTGCCAATTTGTGAACACCTAACAATTTAGAGTAGAAAAGGTAGGGTTCGTATATTCTGTAGTATAGTAGTACAAATAAGTTAAAGACCACACTGTTATTTTCCTTTTGACCAATAATGGGTACACACCAAATTATTTATTCTCTTATTTATTTTCAAATGATAGACTGGGCAATGTGTTAGTCATAACAACATGGTTTTTGGCACGCGTATCCATCTTCTTATTTTGTAACGATGATACTTAAACATATGTTTGAACTTCTTGAATACGAATCTTTATTATAATCCTCAATAAAAATAACTTTTCTTTATTTAGAATTCCTTTTTGGCTCGGGGGTAACGACGAGAACTTCTGTAAGACGCACCAAGTGTGGCACCGGCGATTTCACTTTATGGATGAATTTATGCCATCTTGGTTGAAATCCTTCTTTTTCTACGTGAAGGCAGAAGATTGGAAACAAGAAGAGATAGATTACAAAAGATTCAAAAAATACGCTGAGCCAGCATTCGGTAAACATTATCGATATCCATCAAAAAGTTTTAGAGATTTCAAATCACAATATACTGTCGAAACTGTCGAACAAGGTGTTTCCAGGTCGGCCTCGGTATAATGCTGAAATTAAAGTTCTACCTTTTAGTTATCTTCGCTTCTCGTCCGTATTAATTTTTTTCTACCGACAATGAAAAAATACCTACAAATGTATGTACACTATTATTAAAAACAGGAACGATTTAATTTTATGTTTGTTTAAAATTGAATTGGCTCAGAAACTACTAGACCGATTTGAAAAATATTTTTACCATGGGAATCCTATATTGTCCTTGATGAACATAGGCTAACATATGTATTTAATAAGAGAAAATAGGGAGCCGGTTGAAATATCGACAATGTACTCCGATGTGTGAAAAACTACCAAAAGCTATCAAATATTGCTTACGCTGTGGAATAGTAATTATACTTTTTAAGGTGTAAATATTTTAGTTTATAGTTATTTATATTTTAACTAATTGGCGAATTTGGTTCAGGTAAGTTTTAATTTGATGTCAAAAAGCTTTTGTTATTTCAATTATTTATTTATGATTAAAAAAATATAAAAATAGAGCAATAATATAAAAATGATAAGGACAATCTTAGAAGAACAATAGTTTAGATCTGGGAAAGTAGGTATAATAGTTTTTCTATTATATTCCCATATATTTATTTAAAATTCTCTATATATTACATTTTTAAATACTAGAGGTACTTACAAAAAAAAATAAAAAAAAAATTTAAAATATAAAAAATAGGAGCCGACCAGTAGCGGGAGCATGGTCCAAGCTACCGGTGGTTAGGGCTCCAGAGACAGAAACCTCCTCACAATGCGCGCCGTTTCAAGGAGAACTGCCTTCTGTATCAGGCCCTTGACCCAACTGCCTAACGCTAACCTCCTAAGGTGGTTGTCGACGCAGGCGACGCTGCTCAGCCCACGCAGGGCATTCTCCCACTGTGTGTTCCACCGTGTCCTCAGGGCGGTCCTCGCAGTGATGACACCCGGGCGTTTCCTCCCGCCCCATCAGACACAGGTACCTCCCGAAACTTCCATGTCCGGTGAGGACCTGCGTCAGGCGGTAGGTGAGGACGCCGTAGCGTCTTTCAAGCCACTCCTCAAAGAGGGGACTTACCGCTGCAATGGCAGCGAGCCCAACATGCGAAGCTTACATAGTAGCTGACGAGGCGCAGGATGTAGGTATTATTATTGGTCAACCATTTACCGATTATCCTAATGTTTATGCTGTAAAGACCCCACGTCACTTAGGATATAAACACAAACTGCCTATCGCACTTACCTGATGTTACTGAGGACGCCGAGCGTATGCGTGATAGTTAGTAACATTTACCCGAGGATCTACAACTTTCACCTGGAGTAACTAAAGTAGTTTTGGTCTGCCCGGATTTCGACGGAACCATAATAAATCCGGAATCTGAACACTCAAAACCTCGATCTGAATTATTTGTGCCTAAACATCACGCGCAGACTATTCACGGGCCACGACCGTGTTTATGTTTAGTGATCAACTTAGGAACCGAAGTGATTAATTTACCTAGAAGCGAATGTGTAGTTACGTGCGATAACGGTCCGCGACACAAGGTGTATGAGGTTGAGACGGATTTGGAGCCTTCCGTAAAATTAAAACTTGAATGTTTACTCAATGACTTTTCCGATTGCTTTTCTGAGTACGGTCAAACAATAGTTACCTAAATGCGATATGAAAATGAAAATAGAACTTACGGATAATAAACCCATTTATTACCGACCCTATAGAATGTCAATTACAGATCGTGCACATGTACTAACCATTGTTAAATACCTATTAGAGAAGGGAATTATTGAAGTACCTAATTCGCCTTACGCCAACCCTGTTATTCTAGTCCCCGAAAAGACTGGTGGAAAAACGAATGTGTGTCGATAATCGTGCGTTAAATAAAATAACTAAAAAGGAGCGTTATCCTATGCCCCTTATACAAGATCAGCTTGACCGACTAGCGAAGCAGCGCGTATTTTCATGTCTCAATGTCTTATCAGCATAATTTTTGTATACAAATGGAGAACGACAGCAAGCAGTATACAGCTTTTGTTACGCCTGACGGGCATTATCAATATACACGTATGAGCTTTGGACTTGTGAACGCACCTGCTATTTTTCAGCGGGCTATCGATATGTACTAGGACCGCTGAAGTATGAGTGCGCCACCGCGTACCTCGACGACTTACTCGTATATAGTGAGGATTATTATGAAGCGTTTTGAAACGTTTACGAGCAGTGTTACAAAGAATACGTGGACGCGTTGTGTCGAAATCCTGTGGGATGTGTATTACGTTGCGTACAAACGGACTTTATCGAAAGTTTACAACACGATGACGAATCCATACGCGCGATTATTAGTCAACTAGCTAATGAATTGGCGAACGGGAATTCGAAGGGTTTGGCCGCGGACTACATAGTTGAAAAGGGGATTCTGTTTAGAAACAATAATAATAACCTTAAATTTGTCTATTCTGTTGTCTAATAGCATAAATACTTCATGGAAACTGTCATAACAATTTTTGTAGTACCACTTTTTGGAAATAGATACCGTTGTGCCGTGACGTCATTTTCTGTATCGCGGTGTCGAGATTTTCCGTCAGTTCATGACCTCGGCAGCTTTCATGCAATAAATTTGTCTTACTCTGGATACGTTTGTTTGTTTTGTTTTATTATATTGTGTTGTGTGAGATATTTTTGGGACGTTGTACAAAGTGGTCCTTCGGAACCGGATGAAGGACTGGTGTGCATCGTCATACGAAGTTATAGGGTTGCATGGTCAACCTGCCGCGGGTGCCACGAGTGCCGCGAGTGTAACGTTAGCGCAACGTTGGCGCGAGCAACATCGGCCGATCGTATATGTTTGGCGCTTACGCGTACATGTACAAGTGGTACACAACGGTCGGCGGTGTGGCGCTACGAAAAAGTTCCTGTTGGCGTGAGCAGCGGCTGCGGTGCGGGGGGAGCAGCAGCATATCATTACGACGAGCTACGGTAAAGTGAGTGACAGTGAAGTGTTGTGATACGAAGACAAACTGTGAGTACTTTATATTATAAAAGTGACAAAATTAATATATTGAGACTTAACAAAATTACAAGCAAATTTAGACCTTAATAACTTTGAAAATTGTACTTAATAATTTGGACTTAGAATAATTTCGATAAAAAGTGAACTACGGGGAACCTATGCCCGATTTTGCTGCGAATTGTAATAAGTTCGAAATACTTGTGAGATTTAGCCACGGAGTTAGCATAGCTTTATTTATATAAACATGGAAGCGTTAAGTAATTTACAATTTAACTTACATTCTACTATAAGTAAAGCAAAGTCTAATTTTAAGAAATCACCCAAGGAACGACTTACCAGTTCTTATGTCGAAACTAGATTAGAAAATTTAGAATCTAACTGGTCAGCCTTTTTTGAAACTTATAAGAAACTTGTGTCATCTGTTAAGTCCATTGAATTTGAAAAATCAGAATATAACTTAAAAAACGTTTATGAGGCTACGGAAGAATTATTTACTGATTATAAAGCAGAGTTGAAGGAAGCATTGAAAAAAATGGTTTGTTCGGATTCGAATAGTTCAGTTAAAGTGCTTGAATCTTCTGCGAAGGATTCTAATAGGATATTTTCAATAAAATTACCTAAGATTGAATTGCCTACGTTTACCGGAAGTTATTCTGAGTGGATTAGTTTCAGAGATTTATTTAATTCTTTAATACACGATAACAGAGCACTTGATGACGTTCAAAAATTGCACTATTTGAAATCACATTTGTCTGGAGAGGCTGAAGGTCTTCTGCGGCACATTCCCATTACTAGCAGTAACTATGTAACCTGTTGGAGTAAATTAGAACATCGGTATAATAATAAAAAATATTTAGCAAATTGTATCATTAAACGTTTTATGAGTCAAAAACCTATTGTAACAGAATCCTCTAGTGCTATTAAAGAATTGTTCGATACGTCCAATGAATGTCTTCAAGCTTTGCAAAATTTAGGCATAATGGTTGAGCATTGGGATGTTATAGTTATTTACGTATTGAGTTTAAAACTAGATACTGAGTCACGTAAACAATGAGAAATGAAGATTAGTGATTGTTCAGACGAATTGCCTACAATTGATCAGTTTAAATCTTTCCTTGAACAAAGATTTCGGTCTTTGGAATTTTTAGATAACAAGAGTCAAGGTCGTCAGTCTAATCGTAATGTGCCTGTCAAATCACTTCATGTATCCACCATGTATCAACTACATTGTGCTCAATTGCCATAGAAGAAAAAAAAAAAAACTACATTGTGTATATGTTGCCAAGGTAACCACGAACTTGCTAATTGTAAAAAGTTTGCCGGTCTCGATATTGATAAGCGTCGTAATTTTGTCCAAACAAATGGTTTATGTTATAATTGTCTAGGAGTAAATCACTCCGTATATGCATGCCGCCAGTCTTCTAGATGTGTCAAAAGAAGCATCATAGTCTTCTTCATCTCAAGAATATCTCCAAATCAGGTGGTGATAGTAACAACTCTGATCAAGTCGTAGAAACCAGTGGGGCTGCTTTTACCACCTCAAACCAGAGTATTTCCACAAATATTGTAAGCTGTTTTGCTAATAGTCATAGCCAAATATTATTGGCTACTGCGCTGATTACAGCGGAATCAAAGAGCGGTACTGCTATAGTATTAAGGTCCTTGTTAGACCAAGGATCTCAGGCTTCCTTTGTGACGGAGTCCGCAGTCCAGCTCTTAGGTCTTAAAAGAATACCAACTAAAGGTTCAATTTCAGGTATAGGTTGTGATCAAGACCAATCTTCAATTTTATTCAATTGGATGGTTCTCATTAAGGTAAAATCACGAGTTGATCCTAGTTTTACTATTACGGTTAAGGCTTATGTTTTAAAGAAATTAACAACTATGTTACCGGAAAGGAAGGTTATGGCAAACGTTTTGTCCACAATCTCGTCTTTGGCTTTAGCAGATCCTTCGTTCGATACACCGAACAAGATCGATTTGCTTTTAGGCGCCGAAGTTTATGGCCAGATTTTGTTAGAGGGTTTAATCAGAGGTTCACCTAGTCAACTTATCGCACAAAATACAAGGCTAGGTTGGATCTTATCTGGTCAAGTAGGTGAAATCAACCAAAGCGAGACATGCCATAATACCATCGTCACATTGCATTCTACATCTACTCTCACAGATGAGAATACAATTCTTAAAAAATTCTGGGATTTAGAAGCTGAGCCCAAAGGCGTTAACGATAAGGTCTACTTGACTCCAGAAGAGCAGAAGTGTGAAGAAATATTTAAGGGCACGACTAAACGAGATGAATCTGGTCGCTATATTGTGCACATGCCCTTCAGGTCAAGCGATCCTGCTTGTAAATATGGAGGATCAAAAGACATAGCTCTTAAACGCTTTTTATCTTTAGAAAAGCGATTTTTAAAAAATTCAGAGGTTAAAGCTCAATGAATACTTAGCTCTTAATCATATAGATATAGTACAGGATAGGGACAAAGAAGGTTCTGTGTACCTACCTCATCATGCCGTCATTCGTAATGAGAGGAGTACAACCAAGTTGCGCATCGTGTTTGACGCGTCATGTGTAGGTAGCAACGGGGTGTCTCTTAATCACGATTTAATGGTGGGTCCTCGTCTACAACCTGAACTTCGTCATATTATCATGCGGTGGCGTTGCGAATCTATCTGTCTAGTCGCAGACATCATCAAGATGTACCGACAGATTAGGGTTTGCAATGATCACACAGATTTTCAGCGCATATTGTGGCGTGAGAATCCAGATGTCAAAATTCAAGTGTTACGTCATTTGCGAGTAACGTTTGGGACATCATCGGCACCTTACCTGGCAGTAAGATCATTGCAGCAGCTAGCTCAGGACGAAGGCGCTGAATTCCCTTTAGCAAAGAACCGTGTTCTTTCAGACTTCTACATGGATGACCTTATGACGGGCTGTCAAACTATAGAGGAAGGAGTCGAAACATATAAGCAGATATCTGAAATGCTTAAACGTGGAGGTTTTCAGCTTCAAAAGTGGGCTAGTAATAACAAAGTATTATTAAAATTAATTGAAGACGGTCAACAAATATCACAAACACAAGGGAACATGGAATTAAAGACAGATGCAATTTCCAAAATATTAGGGTTATCTTGGGATAAAGACAATGACGAGTTCGCTTATACTATCCAACTTAATGAACTAGATTTACCAGTTACGAAGCGTAAGGTTATTTCGGACATAGCGCGACTATTCGATCCCCTTGGATGGTTGGCACCGATAATCATCACAGCGAAGGTGTTCATTCAACGAATATGGATGACTGGGATCGAATGGGATGCAGAACTACCTGCACATTTGCTGAAAGAATGGCTTGACTTTCGCAAGAACCTTTCTAACCTTATTAAGTTTCGGCTGCCTCGTTGGATCAACTCTAGCAAAGAAAACCAGGTTGTAGCGCCGCGTATACGCCGCGGTGGTATATGTTCGCATTATTGATAGAGAAGGAAATATTCATACCAACTTAGTTACTTCAAAAACTAAGGTTGCTCCGGTTAAGCAGGTATCAATCCCTCGTTTAGAACTCTGTGGAGCTGTATTACTAGCAAAACTTCTTCAAGAAGTCGCGTCAATTCTAGACATTTCCAAACAGCACTTATAAGCTTGGACAGACACATCTGTCGTATTGGCATGGTTAAGCAGCCACCCTAGTCGTTGGAAAACGTTCATCGCGAATCGTGTTTCCGAAATACTTACTATTATGGATAGAAGTCAGTGGTCACATGTGGTGTCATCGGAAAATCCAGCAGATTGCGCATCTCGGGGGGTTAGTCCTTCTGAATGTAACGACCTATAACTTTGGAAAAAGGGTCCGGTATGGTTACAGAATGAAAAAATAGACTACAATAGAGGAAACATACAAGAAACTACGTTAGAAGAAAGAAAGATAAAAACAAAATGTCATGTAACTGCAGTAGAATTTAATGATAGTCTATTTACTAGATTTTCTAAGTTGAGTAGGTTAATAAGAGTGATAGCTTATTGTAGAAGGTTTCTGCGAATGAAGAAATCAGAATGTAATAGAATTAAAATAACTACTTGGCTAACTACAAAGGAATTAAATGAAGCTGTACTTACCTGTATCAAACTCTGTCAACTCCAGTCATTTAGTCATGAAATGGAATCTGTGAAAAAGAATCGTAAATTAAATAAGAGTAGTAGACTTACCTCTTTGAGCCCATTTCTTGACGATGACGGGATTTTGAGAGTTGGTGGTCGCTTGCACAGGGCTTCGATCGATGAGAATATGAAGCATCCAATTTTAATTCCTCATAAATCACATTTTACCAATCTTTTAATTGCAATGACTCTCGTTAGGCAACACGTTCATAAGTGTGTAACTTGTATTAGACATTCTACAGAAATACATCAACCTATGATGGGTCAATTACCGAAGGCCAGGGTATCTATTCAGAAGCCTTTTCAATGCAGTGGTGTGGATTACGCTGGCCCAATCAGCATTCGAAGCTCTAAAGGTCGTGGTCATCACTCCACTAAGGGTTATATATGTTTATTTGTCTGCATGTCCACTCGGGCTATTCATCTCGAGGTTGTCAGCGATATGACTTCTCAGAGTTTTCTGGCGTCTTTTAAACGTTTTGTAGCCAGGCGTGGCCGAGTATTGGACATGTGGAGTGACAAAGGGGGCCACATTTGTTGGTTGTGCAAAGGAATTGCGACAACTATTCAATGCTGAAAGGGGCATGGTAGCTTCGGAAATAGCTGATTTCCTATGTATGAATGGTACGACTTGGCATTTCATACCTCCTCATGCTCCAAACTTTGGAGGATTGTGGGAGGCGGGTGTAAAATCCACGAAGCACCATTTAAAAAGAATTATAGGCACCAGCACTTTGACCTTTGAAGAAATGACAACTGTGCTGGCTCAAATTGAGGCCTGCCTAAACTCGAGGCCTATCTCTCAACTTTCTAACAATCCAGAGGACGCATGTCCATTGACGCCTGGACACTTTCTCGTGGGTGAACCTCTGGTAACTGTACCCGATGTTAATTATGAAAATTCATCTGTTAGTAATCTGAAGCGGTGGCACACTTACACAGAAAATGCTTCAAAATTTCTGGCGTAGATGGTCACTGGAGTACTTAACTCAACTGCAGCACCGATACAAATGGACAGATTGTAAGCCTGAACCTGAAATTGGAGACGTTGTTCTGGTGAAGGATGATGGTCTTCCACCTGCTAGATGGTTGTACGGTATCATTACAAATAAACATCCAGGTTTGGACGATATTACTCGCGTTGTTACAATACGGTGTAAAAATAATGAGATTAAAAGACCTATATCTAAATTAATTTATTTTACCTGTGAATGCTTAGTTATTGTTTATCAACTTGTGGATGAAACTTAAAAGAAGTTGTATTTTTTACTTGGTTTTACTTTTGTTTATTTTTTACAGTTTTAAACATAAGGCATGAACTTGTATTGTAGACATAAGGCCCTAGAATTGGATTAGTAGATAGTCAAAAACAAATTAATCTAAGTTAATATTGTCATGTTTTGGTTGATGGACAGAGCCGTCCATGGTGGGCGGAATGTCTATTCTGTTGTCTAATAGCATAAATACTTCATGGAAACTGTCATAACAATTTTTGTAGTACCACTTTTTGGAAATAGATGCCGTTGTGCCGTGACGTTATTTTCTGTATCGCGGTGTCGAGATTTTCCGTCAGTTCATGACCTCGGCAGCTTTCATGCAATAAATTTGTCTTACTCTGGATACGTTTGTTTTATTATATTGTGTTGTGTGAGATATTTTTGGGACGTTGTACAAATTTGTAGTTCCAAAACAATGCCGTTGGTCTCTGGTACAGAACTTTCATGACAGTAGGTACTGGTCATGTGAATTTTTATAAAACTTACGATGCAATCAAGAGTATGTTATGGTTTAGTAATATGCGTCGGTTTATTAAAAATACGTACGCGGTTGTATTTCGTGTCAATACTCTAAGAAACCCACAGGTCGACTTGTAGGGTTATTGCACCCAATTGAAATGGTACCCGTGCCTTTTCATACTGTACCTCGTGTGTTCATAAGTTTTGAGACAAACTTTCTGCTTATAAAAATAAAATAAAAATTACTGGCTGCTGTATATTTCTTTTTCTAATTTTGAATTTGGAATGTTAACTTTTAATATCTATGATTTCGGATTATTTTATTTAAATTTTCTCGTAATGGAGGGAACAAAAGAATTACGTGCGACCGTCATTTCATTATTTAAGGTGGGAAGAAAACCTATGGACATTTTCCGAGAACTGAAAAGTTTTGGTGTGAGCCGTAACTTCGTGTATTACACTATTAAACGCTACCAGGAGACAAGTTCTTTACATGATCGGCAAAGAAGTGGTCGTCCACGCTCTGTGAGGACGCCTGCGAACATTAAAATCATCCGAGAGCGACTTCGCCGAAATCCATGTCGCACTCAGAAGAAACTCGCTCTGCAAACCAATATTTCGCGCGTTTCAGTCAACAGAATACTGAAATATGATCTCAAGGTTAAGGCGTATAGCCGTAGAAAAGTACACTTTTTAAACGATCGCCTTCGTCAATTGCGACGCGAACGTTGTCCAATACTGCTTAGGAGACACGATGCGAGGAAGATACTCTTCACCGGCGAGAAAATCTTTACCGTCGAAGAAACGTTCAATCGACAAAACAATAAAGTGTATGCCAAAAGTAGCAAGGATGTCCCACCTTCAGAACGGAATGTCTCGCGTACTCATCATCCGGCTAGTGTCATGGTATGGTGGGGAGTTTCGTACGAAGGTGTCACTCAGCTTCATTTCTGCCAACAAGGCGTCAAGGTGAAAGCCAAAAATTATCAAAGTGACATTCTAGAGACTGTTGTGAAACCCCTGTCTAATACCCTATTCCATAACAAGTATTGGGTTTCCCAGCAAGACTCGGCGCCATCCCATAAGGCTAAAACCACCCAAGCTTGGCTGAAGGAAAATGTGCCGGCCTTCATTGCGGTGAACGATTAGCCCTCCTCCAGCCCCGACCTCAACCCGCTGGATTATTATTTCGGCAGAGCCTGCCGAAAGTCCCACCCAAACTTGGAGTCACTTAAGCAAGCTCTTGTCCGAGAAGCGAAGCGAATTCCTCTGGAAAAGATTCGTGCCGCCATTGATGACTGGCCAAATCGTCTAAGGGCGTGTATTAAAAACAGGGGTGGTCATTTTGAATAATAATTATATTTAATTTTTACTTACTATCTACTTAATGTTTGTTATTGTTTTTATAAATATAAGTTTATTATTTAAAAAGATATGCAACTTTTAATTTGTCTCAAAACTTATGAACACACGAGGTACATGTCGACCATCTTGGTCCTTTTGCAAAAGTCACTCGGGAAGGATGTATATTTTCGCTATAATAGATACGTTTACTAAGTTTATTATATGGATCGAGGCAGTACGAGATACTAGTTGTGCTAATGTTCTTAAGACTCTAGATCTGTTCATAAAACATTCGGTTTACCAAACAGAATCATTAGCGATCGTGGGAAAGCATTTGATTGTCATGAGTATTTATTTAAGAAGTATTGTAGTGAGCGTCAAATAAAATATGTAATGAACGCCGTGGCGAGCCCCAGAGCTAACGGTCAAATTTAAAGGTATAATCGTACAATACTTGATGCTCTCGTGGCTTACTTAGGTGATGACCAGAATAATTGGGAGATGTACTTACCTAAATTTCAATTAAGATTGAACTCGAATCATCAACACTACGGGAAATTCGCCACTAGAACATATAGTGCGTGTCAAGAAATATTTGTTCCACATTGTATTGAAACATAACATTCAGATTAAGAACTGAATATATGTTATTAAAATGTATAGTGCATTATTTTGTCAAGAAATATTTGTTCCACATTGTATTGAAACATAACATTCAGATTAAGAACTGAATATATGTTATTAAAATGTATAGTGCGTTATTCTGTCAAGAAACATTTGTTCCACATTGTATGGAAACATAACATTCAGATTAAGAACTGAATATATGTTATTAAAATGTATAGTGCGTTATTCTGTCAAGAAACATTTGTTCCACATTGTATGGAAACATAACATTCAGATTAAGAACTGAATATATGTTATTAAAATGTATAGTGCGTTATTCTGTCAAGAAACATTTGTTCCACATTGTATGGAAACATAACATTCAGATTAAGAACTGAATATGTTATTAAAATTTATAGTGTGTTACCTTGTCAAGAAATATTTGTTCTACATTGTATAACAACAGTTATTCGGATTAAGAACCGAATCATTGACTATAATTTATAGTCAGTTATCTTGTCAAATATAAATAATAATTTGTTAAATTTATTAAGTATATTAAAGTTATTCAGATTAAGAACTGAATTCTCATCTTATAATGTTCTTGTACTTGTTATTATTAAGAAATGAGAACTGTTAAACCTAGGATAGGTAGGACTGAGTGTCCTGTTTGGATTGTTAAGAACTCTTTAATTCACTAATATTTGAGAGTCGAGGCTGATTGTACTATATAATTAGTCTAGTTGTAAAAAATAAGTACCATAGTACCTTGTAAACATGACTTGTTTAAAGTATATTGTTAATGGCCATAATATGCAATCATTTAATTTATTCACTTATTTATAACTTATGGATATCCTTGTGTTGAGTCTGGGAGCATGAAATGCTCACAATACATGTTGGTCATGTTGTACCCTAATTCGCATGCATGCTATCCTTAAGAGGATGAATCATGAAGGCTTATGAAGCGGACCATGATTGTTCGGGTACCCTACATACAGTAGGTATGGACCCAAGTGCTAAACGTAGACCTATATGAGATGGGTGGGCCGTGATGCAGTTGTAGGCCTTAAGAGGCGGACCTTTATTGACCTTCAGAGGTTTGGAATGTTGGCTTATTTATGAGTGGGTCACTATTTGGTGGGCCTTAAGAAGCGGACTCTGAAGCCATTTAGAAATTACAGACCTTAAGAGGTGGTATCATTTGACTTTAAGAAGTCAATGCTATCCTACCTTAAGAGGTGGTATCATTTGACTTTAAGAAGTCAATGCTGCCCTACCTTAAACTGTCAAACACCAAGCGGTCACCGGTGACCGCAACCTATTGTTCTATAATTGTGTCTACAAAACCGGTACTCGACGAGTTAAGAGGTGGTATTATTTGACTTTAAGAAGTCAATGCTGTCCTACCTTAAGAGGTGGTATCATTTGACTTTAAGAAATCAATGCTGTCCTACCTTAATGGGTGGTATCATTTGACCTTAAGAGGTTAACATCATTCTATCTTTAGAGATCATGATCCCTAAGGGTCATAAACCTTAAGAGGCATCCGTGGTGAGGAAGGCGCTGTTCGGGGCGTCCAGCATCATCAGGACGGCCGACTGAGAGAGATTGGTTCGCGGCAACACACTCCCGCCCGCGCGCCCGGGATGTTCGTCCCTGCCTGTGCGCGACCGGCATTCGCCCGAAGGACGTATATTTGATCATACGCTACTGTTACTATTGTCATTAACTCTCATCTGCGACTTTTAACTAATTAGATACATACTTAACATTAAACTACATCTACATAACAATATTGTCTTTTAATAGCAAGCACGGAGAGTACAATTAACTCTACAGATATAATAGTGGCTCTAGCTAGCGGCAGAGCTACAAGAGAGTAATAATACAATTTATAACTTAACCATAATTGAGTTTCACACACTGATTTTTGGTTGGCTAGATCGGCTAAACAGCCGTATGTGGCAGTATGCGGATCGTAGTTTGTATAGCAAATCGATTTTAATATTAACTGTATTTTCTAATGGACGAAAAGTCTAATGCAGACTGCACGTTTGACACGGTGTGTGTAGCAGGTTCGATTCCTGCACGGAACAACTATTTATGTGATCCAAAGATTTTTGTTCCGGGTCTGGGTGTGATGTGTATGTGAAGTTGTATGTTTGTAAACCCACCCACGACACAGGAAAAAATCTTAGAGCAGGGCAAAGTTAAAAAAAAAAAGATGCACGCTACAACACGTTACGTTATAACCGTAGTTTTAACTATAGTTTTAATTAAACTCCACAGTAAAGATGGAAGGTGTGTAATATGCACAATAAGACCTAACAAACAATTATTCACATTTGAATGTGGGTAACTTCGCAACTAATCAATTCGTCTTGGTGAGCAGACGGATAATTGTTCATTATTAAGCCGTCGTATCTATTGTTTTTCTAAAGTTACGCATTTTCAGGATCGTGAGATTGTGTTCAATAATGAATTATCATGTTTTTTGTGTATTGGCACTACAATACGTATATTTGGTAATATTATTACTCTCAATAAAAACGTAAACTTGTTTTAAATATCAATGATTTACAATTTCTTGAATTTTATTTAGATTACTGTTTTCATTGGTGAAAATAGTCTTGGCGATGTGGCGACACGAAAAGTGAGTTTCTTGTATTTTGTGAGTTTTTTTAATTTATAAATACGTTAATACGTCACGAGCGGAGATGGTAAGGGAGAAGGCTAAACTATTCCAAGGCGACAGAGCCCTAATACGCAGCGCTCCTTTTTCCGCCCGCATGATTTGAAGTAACCTAACCTATCCGCATGTCGGAGAACCTAACAGGTAATCGGGGCTCCGACTCGACGTGCAGGAGAAGGAACGGGGTGGTTTTTAGTCAGTAAGAGTCTGACACTCCCCCCCGCCTTACCCAGGCGGGAGCAGTCATTCGATGATTTTCCGCCCTTAAAAAATAAAAAAACCTATCTGTCGGAATGTCCTTTGTTTTGACTTTATAACATAATTGTTTCCTTTGATTCTATAGTAGATTTATAACTATTAATCTGACTATTATTACTACTCTGTATTTAATTTTAAGAACAGTGTAATATTTCTATATTGTATTAGTTAGGTAAGGCATACCTAACTACATAAACGAATTGAAATATAATTTTATAATCTTCGAGCTTGCGTGTTTTATTACTTCATCCAAATCTTCAAAGATATTATTTATGATAGCTAGTCATGGCAATTGTGTCTGTGTCACTTATCCACTTTGTCTTATTAGATATTATTTATAATAGATCGTGTAAATGAATACTATGGTTATTTTATTGTGTGTTGTTTACGGGCTTTAATGTCTAGCGCGCATTTGGATAGGGACTAGGGTACATGACCCTATGTCTACATTTTTACCACACAAGTTATCATACCTCAACACGTATTAGGGTAATAAACAACATTGTACAAGATATTGGTAGTATGATAATATTATTAGATTGTATAACGTATGGTCGTAGAGAATATCATATTATGCCACACCGCCACTGCCTCTGCCTGCCCTGCTTGCCTACTGCCTCTGGAAGAACTTTCAAAATTGGCTAAGGAAACAAGTATGATAAACATTTTTTGTTTCAGCAAGCAACCATTAACTGTACGGCAAAGGTAGTATTTTGAAATATTCAACAGATTATTTGAAAGCGAATGGTAAATTATTTAGTATTTTTATATTTGTTCTACTGCAAAGGAACAAACTGATACAATTATTACTTGTGCCTTATCCTTCTCATTTTTGTACCTACGTATTATTTTAGTTACGATTTTTATTTTTTTCTTAGGTTTTTTTATATAAGTTCATTATTTTAAGTCCTAATAGGCTAATAAAAACTTTTGTCCTTTGTGCTTTATAAGACACAAAAATTAGTGCATTCTATCTTTACCTTTAAAAGTTGTACAATAATTTAAGAAAAGCTTAATTATTAAGTAAAAACACGCGTTACTCACGTGAATATACTGAGAAAAGCTCTACTAGTTTCGAACCACAGAGGGGTTCTTCCTCATGAGCAGCGTGCGCGGTAGCGGCGACGTCGCGCAGCTCTCTGTGGTTCGAAACTAGTAGAGCTTTTCTCAGTATATTCACGTGAATAACCCGCGTTTTTACTTAATTTAGTATGTCTAACGATAGTTATTATAAAAACATAGCTTAATTATTATGTAAATACATTGTAACAACTACTGATGGATCTAATTAAATAAATAAATTTACCATTAAAAAACCATTAAGTATTACGTTTGTTTTGTATTGGCGTAACGCAGGGAAGTTTTATTAAGCAACTAACTGTATCACGCGGCTTTTCTCGCGTGGAAGTTGATTATGTATACAATAAACTTTCACCTTATTAAGTAACTTCCAAAAAATCTGAAGTATATATTAATTTGTTCTAGTGCAAAGGAACAAACTGTCATGCAAATGTAAGTCCTAAGATCCTATTGCTAATACTTAATAGTTCTCTCAGGATTTTATTTTATATCTACACAGGTGACTTACTCAAATCAATAACATTTGAACATTTAAACGTGTATACAGTGTGGGTTAATGCATCAATAAATTAAAACACAAGCAATACGTACATGGAATTATTTTCCACTTATTAAACTAATCCTTATATTGAAATAAATAAAATTAAAACCTTGTCCCTCTATTGCTATTTCTAACAACCATTCCCGGGGATGGTCGGCGAGTTAGCAACTCTTTGCCTGCCATTTTTAGGTGTAGTCAGGGATCGTCGACGGTTCGTGTCCCATTCCACTTAGATTAAAGTTATGGAAAGGGCCACTGTGCAGTTGGTTTCGATGATTCGGTCCCTCGTAAACCTCTCAAATGACTGGGACCCTATAAGACATAAGAGTTAAGAGCTATTTTTTATTGTCGCGTTGCTAGAGATTATTTGGTGAAGGTCATTTCATAGATGACATATATAAGTGTTACTTTGTAACATATTGGAGAAATAAATATCATTTCATTTCGTTATTTTCCATTAGTAACAGCATAGTTTAAGTTTATGTTTCTAGTCATTTTTAATGTCCGAATATGTTAAATTTATAAATTCAAGTTGGCCGGTTGTTATATGTAGACTGAGTGGAAGATATGCTAGATTAGAAGGAGGCGGGGCGCATGAGGAAACGAACCCCCTCACGCTCCAGCCGTAGCGAGAAATTCCGGGCGTCGAGGATCGCGAGACGATCTCCGTCCACCGTAAGCACGGGCTTGCAGATGGCGAGCACGAGTAACTCGCCGTCTGATCAGAATCAAACCCGAGCATACGGCGCGTCGCGTACCTCGCGCCTCAAAGAGCTATCAGACCACCACAGATGGGGCCCAATAGGGCTGGTGCCGATGCTGAGCGGCGGAGGACTTAATGGGTTGCCGGGGCTCCGGCTCGAACAGCAGAAGTAGGAACGGGGTGGTTTTTAGTCAGTATGAGTCTGAAACTCCCTCTTGCCTCAACCGAGGCTTCCGGCGACTGGGACCACAATTACTGGGACCGCGGTCCCAGTCGCCGGGTACATAAAAATTTAATATTTTTCTTCCGGCGATTGGAACCACTCATAAATAACAACTGAAATCAAAAAATTTACAGTCAACGCATTTTTAAAAATAAACTAGCAAACCCGGCGACGAGAAACACTGATACATTTAAAGGTTTCTAATGTGATGTCGTAAATCAGCACTTTTTTTGCGCTTATATTGCAAACGCTGGCTGTACCCTCCGAGATAGACCAAAATAATGTACTACAGTATTGACCACCTTAAAAAGTTCAACAAAAAAGTCCGCGATGGTATATGTCTATCTATTAGGGATAACTCACCATAACCATTTTTTATCCTTTACTATCAATGGTTATTTACGAAGTGATTTTAAACTATACAGCATTAATCCTTATCCAATTAAGTACTTTAAATTATGCATTTATCATAGATCAATATGCTTTTTACAGCATGTAATTTAAGTGAATATTTCCGAAGATATTACAAATTTATAATGCAGGGACGTATTTGTTGCGGCGTTGATGGCCGCGTTTCGTCCTAGAGCACTTTATGACTTGCAACGATCGCACGCGTTTATCGGAACTCTCTAGCGAGGAAAATATCAATATAAAACATGTTTGTATTGTCTAATGATAAAATACCTGTGAACGTGGTGTATAAGGACATTTTGTAGTAGGATTTTTACATAAGTATTGCACCCGTGCGAAGCCGGGGCGGGTCGTTAGTAAGATTATAAATGTAAATGATTTCTTTTATGTAAAATATACCATACGTTCAAAATTTGATCAAAAAATGTCTATTTGTTCAAAACAATTTAATAAAAATAAATTACTCAAATTTTCAAGTAGGTAATCGTTATATGTAATATAAAATAAATAATATCTATATAATTATGTATGTTTCTTACAATTTATGTACTGATGCTTATATACTTACTATTTGCTTATAGACCAAAACAAGTGACGACACTAAATCACTCGTTCAAAAAATTATCTCGCCTGAAGTCATGAAGTTGCATGTTCGTAGTGTGAGGAAAATTCGAGATGGTGGTGTTATAATAAGCACCGAAAATAAAGCTGACATTGATAAACTAAAAAATGCAGAGAAATTAGTTTCATCGGGCCTCACTGTACAGGAGCCGGCGAAACGACGACCGAAGATTGCCGTGATTGGTGTACCCTCAGCGTTATCAGAAAAGGAAGTTCTAGACTGTATCTACGAGCAAAACCTCTCCGATAAAATGCCCAATTCCCCACGTGAGCCCACATTGGCTACCATAAAACTTAGCCATAAATCGGGCAAGAAAAATCTCTCGACCTGTAATTACGTGCTAGAGGTGCCACCAAGCATACGTAAAATTTTGCTAGGCCAAGGTCGACTTTTTATAAATTGGACCTCTTGTGCCGTCCGGGACTACACTATAGTTACGAGATGTTTTAATTGCCAGCAGTTTGGACATGCAGCAAAGTACTGCCGTGAAACGAGCCCTACCTGCCACCTCTGCGGTGACTCTGGTCACTCCTTCAAGGAATGCAGCAACAAAGCTGCACCTCCAAAATGCGCGACATGTAAACGTTTCAAAAGAAAAAGCGACCACTCGACTGGTGACGTAAGTTGTCCCGCCCGGAAATTTGCTGAGGACTACTATATTAACACCATAGATTATGAAGGCGCCTAAGAGCGTCAGTAATTAGTTTAACTTAGTTAGCACATATTTTATACGCATCTTAGTTAATATTTTAACATGACAAACCAACTTATTGGTGACTTAGATTGTTTTTCTGTATCAGAGACTTGTATTTGTAATGTTGATGAGTGCAAAAACTTAATTAACACTGGGAAAAAAGCATTAACATTACTCACGCAAAATATCCGCAGCATAAATAAAAATATGCTGGATTTCCAGGTATTACTGCAAAATATCGATGTTAGTTGTGATATTATTATTTTAACAGAGTGCTGGTTGACAAATTCCACGACTGTTTTACCAACTCTTACAGGATACAGCTCTCATAGAACGAATAGAATTATTAATCAGAATGATGGCCTAGTAGTTTATGTAAAAAATAATTTAAATGTAAGCATTACAGAACCACAGTTTGCAGATACTAACTGTTTATTAATTACTATAAATCCTGATATAGTAATTATTGCTATATATAGACCTCCCTCTCAAAATATAGATAAATTTATAGACTCACTTGACACGAATCTAAAGAAAGTGGCTTCATATAAAACCATCATACTTATAGGGGACATAAATATTAACATTTCATCCGGGAAAACCGACATGCATGCTCATAATTATCTTAACATTTGTTCTTTTTATGGACTTCTACCAGCTCACACTCATCCCACTCATCAAAGCGGTTCGTGTCTCGATCATATCATCATCAAAACCAATAAACGAGCAAAAACAATAGTGACTAATTCTTCCGTAACAGATCACCAAGCAGTATTACTTGCACTTCAAATTTCATTACCCAGAAAAAATTGCATCCGCAGTCATTCTAAAATCGACATGACAAGACTAGACCATGACGTTAACAATATTAATTTTGACCCTGTTTACAATGCAAACGATGCAAATATTTCATTAAATAATTTTATATGCTTAGTACAGCACGTAATAAATAAAAATACATACACAGTAAAAATTCCACAGAAGTACTACAACATCAAGCCGTGGATAACACCGGGTCTGGTTAGATGTATTCGTAACAGAGACATGCTTCATCGTAAATCAAAATTAGCACCAGAAAATAAGATTCTGCTGATGACATATAAAAGATATAGGAATTTTTGCAATAATTTAATAAAAAAGGTAAAAATTCAATACGATAAAAGTGAGTTACAGAAGGCAGGCAATAACAGTAAACTCATTTGGAAATTTATAAAAACAAATACTTTTAGACCAATAAATACTGACCCTTCACTTGACCTACTATCGACTGAGTCAGACCCTTCTAAAGCATTGAATAATATCAATAATTACTTTGCAAATGTCGGTAAAAACTTGGCCGAAAGTACCCTACAGTACAGAAACTCTTCTACCTACGACTTGACTTCTACATCACTATCAACTACATGTGATTCTTTCGTGTTGCTAGACACTGATGAGGATGAAATACTAACAATAATAACCGGTTTAAAGGATGTTTGTGCAGTCGGCTGGGACGGTATTCCTAATTACATACTAAAAAAATATAAATACATATTTGTGGGTCCATTAACATACATATTTCAGCTATGTCTATCAACTAGCACTTTTCCGAAATCACTCAAAAAATCAATGATTACACCAGTTTTCAAATCGGGAGACAAAACCAATGTCATTAATTATAGACCCATTTCAATACTAACTGGTCTCTCAAAGATTTTAGAAAAAATTATTAATAACAGACTGGTAAAATATCTTGAGGGAAGGAAATTGCTTTCTGACAACCAGTTTGGCTTTAGACCAAAGAGATCAACTAACCAAGCGGTGCATGGACTTACTAACTATATTACCACTAATCTGGACAATGGCATGTACACTATGGGTATCTTCTTGGACCTCGCCAAGGCATTCGACACAATTTCTTTCTCCATACTATTGCGGAAACTTGAGTCACTTGGGATCAGAGGAAAGCAGTTACTTCTTTTCTCTGAGTATCTGTCCGACCGTTACCAGTCTGTAAAGATTGACCAATACATAAGTAAAGAAGTTAAAAATAGTTCTTACGGAATACCACAAGGAAGTATATTGGGACCTACACTATTCCTAATTTATATAAATGACTTATGTGAATTATCAATTAAAAACGGCATTGTAATGTCCTATGCGGATGATACAGCTCTTGTATTCTCCGCTAATACACGGGAAGAGCTCTACATACACGCTCAAAAAGGATTCACTGCTGTAACTATTTGGCTTTCTAAA